CCAGGCCAAAAACAGTAAAACCTTCATTTACGTGGGATCCACGGATCGTACTGGATTGGCTTTCAACAAACCCACCTAAAGACACATTATTTGATTTAGCACGTAGAACTGCCACAGTCCTTCTGTTGGCTTCGGGTCGCAGAGTTCACGATCTAACTTTGCTCAAAATATCGAATGATAGTTTTCTAGACAGTGGAGAAAATATCTATTTTATACCAGCTTTCGGATCTAAAACAGATACCTACAATTATCGACAATCTGCATGGAAGCTATCTTTACATAATGATAAGAACATTTGTCCAGTCACCTTAGTAAGGCTGCTTATAGAAAAAACTAGAACAAGAAGATCTGAAAGTGGTAATTTAAAAAACCTTTTTATCACAGTATGTAATAAAACCAAAGCCGCCTCACGTACAGTAATTGGGAACTGGGTACGCACGGTTCTCAGAGACAGTGGAATTAATGCATCTCCAGGAAGCTGCAGATCAGCAGTAGCTTCCTTAAGTTGGCTAGATCACCAATCAATAGACGACATTCTATCACGGGGCAATTGGAAATCGCCTAACACATTCTTTAATCATTACTGCCGCGAAATAGAACTCCCTAAAGAAAATCGTAACTTATTTTTCAAGACATTTACTACATCATAAATTATTAATTCACTTTAATCATAACAATAAAGTCAAACTGATTTAAAAACTTAGAACATGTATAACAAGTATGGATTGATTAACATGTCCTTCTTTTTTCTTTTGAGCTTTAATTTCTCGAAAGCTCACATATTTGATTGTACTGTTCATTGTATATAGGTAATAATATTAATAACAAATAAAGAAGTTGTTACTATATACTATTATAACCATTTATTTCATTTCAATTTCAGACTAAGCCTTTTAATTAATCATCATAGCGTTGTGTGTTTACATATATTTCACCAGCAGATAACAAACACGTCTTCATAAACAATGCTGTATGTTTTCCGGAGGCACATCAATATAACGGTTTTACATAGAAATAAAACCGATATTATGTGCCGAGAGGGAAAACATACAGCATTGTAGGAAGGGCTTCCTGGTGAAGACTATGAGCTCTGAGAATGACATCGGCTACCTCGTCCTAGCTGGGACACCTGACACCTGTGGCGGAAGTGCCGCCATCTTTATTTTATCGTCAAGAGTACGGACCGCACTTATATGGCTAAGTATACACTGCTTCTTCATAAACAATGCTGTATGTTTTCCCTCTCGGCACATAATATCGGTTTTATTTCTATGTAAAACCGTTATATTTTTATTCCGATCCACGCAGAAGGAGCTTATGGTATCTTGAGGTCTGGCAATGTGGGTGTGCTTGGATTTAATTTTATAAATTATGGGATCCCAAGCAGATGATAAACTCCAACCATCTTCTCTATTGAAATTAGGATGTTTCTTTATTTCAATAGCCTCGCGGATCATCCTTGGAAGGAATCGGTGTTCTTTTGCGAGGATTTTCGGTGTTCTTTTGGTTGATCAAATCTAATGTAGAGGTTGGGGCGGTCTAAAATATGATCACAAACTGCAGACTTCTTCAACCGTCGGTGCTTCACGTCAGCTATGTGTTCTTTAATTCTGGTTTTAATTGATCGTTTTGTTTGTCCTATGTAAGAGAGCCCACAATCGCAGTCAAGCTTGTACACTCCTGGATCTTGTAGAAGGATATAACACTTGACAGATGGTAAAAATTGACTTATCTTCTTCGGTGGCTTGAAATATGTTTTAATTGAAGCACGCTTCAAGATATAGCCAATCTTGTCAGTGAACCTCATATGGCAATACAGCAGGCACTCGCTCGACTGTGGCCGGTTTTACTCGGTCACTGTGACGCAGGCGCGGGATTTGGAGCTTGTTATCACGCAGCACTTGCTTGACATTGTGTAGCTCAGCGGCCAGGTGTTCCTTGTCACAGATCCCTCGTGCTCTCTGTAACAAACATTTACCAACAGTAGCTAACTGTGAAGGGTGGTGGTGAGAATCACCATTTAAATATTTATTTGTATGGGTCTCCTTTCTATACACAGTATGGCTCAAGGTGTTGTCAAGATTTCGGATGACTAATACATCTAGAAAGGCTAAGGAGTTACATGTCTCTAATTCCATAGTCAATGTAATTTTAGTGTGTAAGGAATTGAGGTGGTTTAGAAATGCATTTACTTTGTCTGATGGTAAAATTGTGAAAGTATCATCTACATACCGCTTGTAAAATCTAGGTTGAACGGGTGCTGTTTGAAGGGCCTTCTCCTCAAAGTCTTCCATAAATATGTCTGCGACAATGGGAGATACTGGGCAGCCCATTGCTACACCATCCAACTGTATGTAGAATTCTTCCTTCCACAATAGATAGCCAGATGTGAGGCAATGTTTGAGCAGTAATGCATATTCTATAGGCATGTTGTTCTCCTTAAGCTTTCCAGTAACTATTGAAATACAATCTTCTATAGGTAAGCATGTAAATAAAGACTGTATGTCATAGCTAACCATAGTTTCATTGTCAGCAAGATGTAGGTGGTTAATCTCACTGACAAAATGGTATGAATCTTTAGTGTACAATAAACACTCAAGAAAACAATATGCTGCAGGAGACTTATGTTTTCCGAGTGTATTTATATCTGTATGTATTTATACTGCAATTGAATGAATGTACAGCCAATTCTTTGGTACGATCTACAGAAAAAACCTTTTGACTTATATCAACCTATAGGTGTCGTAAGAATCGTTGGTGTGGGATGTGGGAGTGACATGGGATTTGATTTCAGATTATAGTGTCCGTGAAAAAGATATAGTGGGATAGTTAGTATTTTAATTCTGTCGGGCTTTTTTTAACTTAATAATTTATGCTTGTTGTAATAATGCATAAAATAATAGTGATAGAACTGAAGAAATAAACGAATATGTACTATGAGTACGAGATTGAAATATAATTTCTTCAAGAAATATAGCTTCACCCTAAGACCCGTGCTAGTTTTAAAAATTGTACTATTTGTAAAATTGTCAATAGATGGCATTATCGTACATTCTTTATAATATGTTTTTAAACGAGTATTTTGCAAAAACATTAATTTTTCTCTATTAATGCATTTCTAATGTACTTTCAATTGATGTTTAGTCATTTGTTGATTGAATAATGACCTTCATATCTTTATAAAGAAGTCGAAGGATGCAGGTAGCTCAGGATCATACTTCGTGGCAGTCTATGGAGAAGCGTATATAGGGTGGCTTTTCTAAGTGTATCCAGTATTTTTATTAAATTCTAGACATAAATACTGTCATATATAAAATGATAAATATTTAAAATCACTCGTAAGAAATTCATTGAACACATTCATTTGAACTTATCTCAAGAAAAGTGCGTGATTTATTTTTTTACGCGCGATCATTCATAACACGCACACAAGTTCGTGCACAGTAAAATTTAGGTATTTATGAATTACTTTAGAAATTTAAACTTTTTTATAGTGCTAATCTCTGCACTTAAGATTAAACATTAAAATTTGTAGAAAAAATACGAAAAGATTGTCGCCGCTGTGGGAATCGATCCCACGTCTTCGGCATTCGCGGCCTGATGCTCTAGCCACTAAGCTAAAGGGCTGATTTCCACACCGACGAAAATCTTAACGTCTTTTATCTACATTGTTATTTAGCAATACTGTAGCATAACTAATTTCCCCCCGCAACCACACCACTTCTGCATCAACGGTGCAGACCCGCTGAGACGTGGTGGATAGAGAAATAGTCTACCTCCATATCTGAACTGCTCCCTATGAATCCACCTTGGTTGCAAATCAATATGTCCCTCAATCTGCCCCGTGTTACTTTAGTTAGAGTAAAAACTGTTACACGCTATCACAGTTGTTACCGAACATTTTATCACCGTCACAAGGTCTTTCTTTTTCTAGCATATAGCTTTGTTAGAAAGAGAAGTCCAAACATACAACATGAAAATTTATTTTATCTGTTATTGGGTTCGGGAACCCGAAGTACACAAGTAAATATCTAAAGAAAACAGCTGTTACAATATGTTACTCTATGGTAACAATTACACAAATTGTCACAACATAATATGAAATATCAGACTGTTATTTTGTAACAGGTATTTGTCACTGTTACGGTTAAATAACCGGAACAGAAGTAATAAGTACTCGATTTTACCTAGCATAACTCACTCCTAGCTCCGTAACTCGGCGCTAAATCCCGTTGCTTATTCGCTTTAGGGATACTGAAGACATGCGCTCCATTTCACATATCCTACGGGAAAGGTGCAGCTGTCGAGGAATGCATTAAATGACTCTAATAGAAGGCAAATTACTAATTAGTTTTTATCGCTTGGTAGGAGATTCGCTTCGGTTTATGAAGTTTTTAATGATAAACGTACCATCGACGATATGTCTTCGAAAGGAGGAATGGTTAAGGAGTTGAGTTTACTTTTATCTATACTATAGGCACAGAGCTAACAGCGTAGTTACTTTATTAAAAGGAAAAAATTGGTAATCGACACTAAATAGCTTGATTTTTATTCTATGCTCAGTTATGACATCATGGTTGGTACTTGCTATTCTATCTGTCAGTCTGTCATCCGATTTTCGATTGGTCGTCGTTCACTGAATGGTACGACAAAATATCTCATTATTGTCGTGAACTAGAACATTCGCAATAACATAATTTGTAACTATTTTAATTTTTAGTCAAAATTCCTGCAAATACACAGTAATAATTTGTCTTAATTATTCCTGCATACAATTTTTTTGTAGAACTGACACAGTTCTCATTTCACATTGACAATTAAAAATAAAACATTGGCCTCCCGATTTGTGATGGAAACGTATTTCAACTCCAGTGCGAGCAGAAAGGGATCAGCGGTAGAGGGATATAAATGATTTAGGCAGCTGCATAGTTAACAAGTTTAGAGAGCGAAAACCAAATTAGTGGGAAGATTAACAGGTTTTCGAGGCGCATGACGGTGTCATGAGCACAAACAAGAGGCGTGGAGCTAGCGGTGCCAGTTGTTTCGTGCCTGGAGTGCCCGCCCTGGTGAACGGTCCCACAGCCATGTCTGCCGACCTCGCTTCACTTTTTGAGTGCCCCGTTTGCTTTGACTATGTTCTGCCGCCGATCCTTCAGTGTCAGAGCGGGCATCTGGTCTGCTCTAGCTGCCGTCCTAAGCTCTCCTGCTGCCCCACTTGCCGCGGTCCGCTCGGCAACATCCGCAACTTGGCAATGGAAAAGGTCGCCAGCAATGTCATGTTTCCGTGTAAACACTCAAACACTGGTTGCACCGTTACGTTAGTGCACACCGAGAAGGCAGAACATGAAGAAGCTTGTGAATTCAGACCCTACTCATGCCCTTGCCCAGGTGCATCGTGCAAATGGCAAGGAGGCCTCGATCAAGTGATGCAGCATTTGATGACCTCCCACAAAAGCATCACTACTCTACAAGGTGAAGACATTGTGTTCCTAGCAACTGATATAAACCTGCCTGGTGCAGTAGACTGGGTGATGATGCAGTCATGTTTCAACCACCATTTTATGTTAGTGCTTGAAAAACAAGAGAAGTTTGATGGTCATCAGCAGTTCTTTGCAATTGTTCAATTAATAGGGTCCCGAAAAGAAGCCGAAAACTTTGCTTATAGGCTGGAGCTGAATGGTCACCGTCGACGTCTGACATGGGAGGCAATGCCACGCTCAATACATGAAGGGGTATCCTCGGCTATCATGAATTCAGACTGTCTTGTGTTTGACACTTCCTTAGCACAGTTGTTCGCTGACAATGGTAACCTTGGAATCAATGTCACAATCTCGATTGCCTAATCAACTCATGTACATGCCATGTAATTATAAATTTCATAATACCAAATGGAATGTATATCATTATTGATCCTCAAGAAAAATATTATATTTTATGTAAAAAAAAATAATAAATAATTGAATTAATCAAACATAAAATTGTTGAAATATTTTTGTGGCATAAGCTGTGACTTCTATGTGGATTGTAATTATTGTAATAATCAACATCAAAGTGAGCCAAAAAATATGTGTTTTTATAAACTTCTTACATTACTATGATTGTATGTAAATGTGTGTTCATCATATTAGAGTTAAGTAGAAAATATCCAATTGATACAGAAGCCATGTGAACGTATCAATGAAATAAGAAACATGACCTCTCGCAAGAGCAAGTGATTATAATATTCCAAACATAGAACAAACTAATTTGTAATAAAATTTAAACTTGTATATATGCATGAAATGTTAAGATGTAAGAGATTGGATGTTGCCGTAGGGAACCATGCTTAGTGAGCTGGCATTCACTGAGATAACAGCAAAACCGGCACTAAAACATACTTGTCCCTCATAAACGGTAAGGTTACTATTGTTTTAAAGTGCAGTATCAGAGATATGAGCATGTATAGATGTTTGCGCTGAACATAGTTTGAATATGTGAAATACATAGAATAATAACTATTGTACAATGAACTAAGCCATTTTAAAACAGCCTCAACTTACCATAACTTATGACTGTTAAATTGTGTTAAGTGATTCCAATGAAGGGTCTTTGCACAAGTGTACAAGCAAATATATTTTCATATGATACATTTCCGAATATGTATGAAAAATAGATGCCTAGATTTATTATGCATTTATTTTGTACTAACAAAATGGTGGCTAGTGACATTGTTGTTTTGTTTGTGTGGAGACCCTTGATGTGTTGGTATTATTAATGCAAGAATTATGTTACTTAATTTTTTTAACTATTTAGTATTTACGTCTCCAGAACATGCCTCTGAATATAACTATGCTGAGGCAAATTATTATTTAAAATTTTGTATATCTTAAGCCGAAGCCGATTTACGACATTTTGGTTATAATAAATTTTTTGTAATGTACTTATCTTAGTTTCAATTCATTATAATAAGGAAAAATAAATACTTTAGTGACACCTTTATTATCAGAATTGTGATGACTCATGCACCATTTACATAAATTTATTGGAAAATAAAAATCAATCATTATAATAATACACTTCATGTACAGTATTACTCTTAAATCAAAATATTAACAATTGCGTAACAAAATTTTGTAATAATTAAAAAAAAAGTCAAAACAAGTGAACTCATGCATTCAACATACATGTTTCTTCATTAATTATTATAATAACATCACTACTAACATCCAGACAAAAATATATATGAAAATAGTTTCAAAAATTTAATAAATTATTGCCATTATAGTTTAACACTCAACAGTTTGCTTCAATTTGTTTATCTAAAAAGAGCAGGTATTCTTATATTCTATCCAATCTCCTAACTCAAATAAATATATAGAAAATTTGATCCTTTACGTCTAGTAATGAATAACTAAACTTCTTCCATGTTTTTCTGTAGTAAACCGAGGATTTCCAAGTGTTACAAAACCAACTAAATATTCGATCCAACATTGCTCAAACAATCCATTAGCTAGAAAACGTACGATTGTTTAACTTAGAAATACAATTTAATTATTGAGATTTCATTGGGCCTAAATATAACATATATAAAATAACAACAGCAACATGCATCACATATATAACAGAACCACAATACCAGTTCCTATTTGGCAACTGTTTCGATTGCATATAAAACTATAGAACCAAGCTCGACTAGATTTTGGTGTTATCCAGCTACAAGAGTTTGGCTAATGTTCAATGAACGTCATCGAAGGCTGTTAGCCTCTGTATCTTTTACCAGATTCAGTACATGTACAAGCTAGGCTGGCTTACTGGTCTGGGGGAGCATCGGGGAAGGGAGCAGACACGCTGCCGTCGGGGAGTGATTGTCATCGAGTATAGAGGTCTGTTCCTTAGGAGCGGTACAAAAGGGCTCATCGGCAACAGTCACAGGGCTAAAGGGGTCCCTCCCTCTGTGGACCACTTCGTACACCTCCCCGCTGTCATTCTTCGAATCGGCAGCGCTGAAGGTGAACTCGTCGTACTTCTCTAAGGCGGCGCCGCTCCCGCGTGGTACTAGAGGAGCGAACGGGTCGAAGCTCTTTATACTATCCGGACTGAAGGGATCCTTTGGGTCGGATTTAGCGTCCTCCGCTAGGCTGTTGTCGCCGCTGAGGTCTGATAGGTCGATGTCGTAGTTGATGCCGCTCAGGCCAGGCGCCAGGTGCTCCCCAAACTCTTCGGGGGTCACCAGCTCGTCGATGGACCTGGAGTCGAACGGCGCGAAGCCGAGCGGTGACGGGGTCAGCAGCTCCATCGAGCTGGTCTGCTTGAGGCCCCACCTGTCGAGGTTCTGTGGCGACTTGGACGGCGAGGGCGCCTGGATAGTTTGCTTGAGGTCCCACCTACTTGTTTCATTGGGAGAAAAAAACTTAAATTTTACAACGAATTTTAGAACATCCTTACGTATAAAAGTGTAACGTAAAGTTCATTTGTAAAGGTCACAAAGCGTATGAATGGGTTGAATGAATTTGAAAGAGACAAAACATACTCTTTGACAACATGAAGGAGATGCTTGTAATGCGACGCTGTGGCAACGAATGAAAATGTCCCTGAATGCATGAATCAGTCAGTTGTAGTTGTATAGGATGTTACAAATTTAGTTACTTTTTTACTTAATTAGTTTGTTTGAAAAATATTTTTTTTAATTATGGATTTTTTTAACGTTAACATTTTTTTATGATTATTGGCAAGTAGCCATTACACGTGTCTTAATTTATTGTCGCGATTGTAAAGACACGCTGTATAGTATAGTTTTGACAGTTTATCAGAATCGAAATTATAATTATTAACATTTTATTAGAATCAAATCTGTTGGTCAACAGGTGGCACTGTTTACGAAAAATTATTAAGAAGTGATATTGATATAACCGATAGTCATTATTGAAAAAATCGTTTATAACAAAAAAAAAATAATTTTCACATGCTTAGGACCCACCTGTCGTCGGGGTTCTGAGGCGACTTGGACGGCGAGGGCTCCTGGCTCGGACCCTCGGCTTGGACCTCCGTAGTCTCCAGCGCGGGAATCTCCGGCGTTTTCTCTGGTTCGGTCGGCGCTTGTGATGATTCCGGCTTAATGGGTGCCATCTCCTGGGGCTCTTCTACCGGCGCTGGGTTCTCCAGGTCTATGAGCGGCGCCGAGCCCTGCAGCTTCCCGAACCTGGGCAGCTCGCGACGCGGCTTGATCTCCAGCGGGGTTTTGGCCAGAACGTCCTGGACCTTCTTGGCGATTTGCTCCTGATAAGATGACAACGTACCATCTGTATGGAAGATTTGACACTATTCCGTCCAAAGGGGAATCTCTTGTGTAGGTAGGTATAGATAAAAGCTAGCGTAAAATCAAGGGTGCAAAATTGTTCACTAATTGGGAAAACTCTTTCGCGTATTACATTTTATCTATTATATAAATCTTATATTGACATGAAAATTGTTTGCTTTCGTGACATCTTATAAAGATATTATACTTATTGATATAAGAGTTGACACTATCGCGGCTACGCGCTGCTACGTATTTGTAGTGGCAATTGTGGGGGAAGTGGGGTTTTAATAGGCAAGTTGTCAAGAGTTGTCAAGTATTAATATAAAAGTAGTAGTAGTTGTGAAGAATGACTATAAAATGTTGGGAAAGTATTCTGTAAATAGTCAGTTTGTTGTAAATGTTGTGTTTAGATGACAATCATAACTGGCGACGATAGCCACAGACGCCTTTGCCTAGTGGGGCCAAGGCACCATGTAACTGCAGTTCCGTTAATCAATAGACATATTTTCGTTTTCTTCGCGGCCCCACCGCGGCAGTACCTCGAAGGTGGCGGCGCTGGCCTCCTGCTCCAGCGCCCGCCTCTCCAGGTCGGCGGCCGCCTCCAGGAGGCGGTCGGCGTGGGCCCTCTGCTCCTCCGCCTCTCTGGCCGCTCCGCACAACGACAGCGCCGCCGCCTGAAAGCGCATTCGTCTCAAAGAACTGTATAATAACCGGCCAAGCGCGAGTCGGACTCGCGCACCAGTTCCGTACCATCGCTACATAGTATAAAACAAAGCCGTCCCCGCTGTCTGTCTGTCCATATGTATGCTTAGATCTTTAAAACTGCGCAACGGATCTTGATGCTTGATGTTTTTTTTACTAGATAGAGTGATTCAAGAGATGATATGTATAATACATTTCACCCGTGAGAAGCCGGGGCGGGTCGCTAGTTGTATATAAAAACGGCAAAAAAAATCTGTTGTATAGGAGCCTCACTTAAATATTTTTATTATCAAAAAAAAAATACATCATCTGTGAAAATGTCTACCTATCACGGTTCATGACATACAGCCCGGTGACAGGCGGACAGAAAGACTGCGGAGCCTTCGTAATAGGCCTTCGTTCTTTTTCTTACCCTTTGGGTACGGAATCCTAAAAATGGACGTCAAAGTTCTCACAATTTTCTCGAGTTGCCATCTTTTAATAAAGCAAGCCCCGGCTACCTAACTCACCAGACGAAACGCAGAGGTGTAACACTTCACGCCGATCTTCTGTGGGGTCGTGGTACTTACCCGGACGGACCCGCCCATTCGTGCAACAGAGAAGACTATTGCGTGGCAATAATATTATTTTATGTGAAAAGTTGCCAAGCGAGCAGACGGTACATCTGCTGTTAAATGAATACCGCCGCCCATAGACATCTGCTGCACCCGAGGGTTGCAGATGCGTTGACAACCTTTTGAAAATTGGCCTCCGGCCACCTCACTCACCAGACGAAACGCGAAAGTATTATACTATATCTGTGAAGTGGTACTTACCTGGATGAGCCTGACCATTCGTGCAACAGCCGAGGCTGCTGCGTCGCTCACCGTAAATATATATTATATAGTGTAACATAGAACAAATCACCCAGGCGCTGCCACCGATGGTCGCCGGCATGGCCATGTAGCAGTCGAACTCCTTCTTGTCCATGCTCAACGACTCCGCGGTCAGGTTCTCGATGAACGACACAGCGCAGCACTGGAATGAAAAAACAGCATCAAATAGGGCTTTTCGCTATTTACGATCTCTCGGGAAACCCAAAATCTATCAGCGGCTAGCAAATATATGCCAAGGATCATGAAGAATTGTAGTGGATAGATAATTCGGAATTTATTTTGAACTATTTTATATGAACTTTTCTATTTTTTACATAGAGGATAAACATACAAAGGAATGTATTTTTTGAGCCAATCTTCTCAGCCTTACTCAGAACGACAAATCAAGGATTTCTTATTATCCTTCTGCCCTTATGTATAATTTACCATATACGTATTATTTATACAGGTAGGTTTTTCTAAGTGTATCAATTTTTTTATTAAATTCTAGACATAAATAATGTTACATAAAAAATTATAAATATTTAAAATCACTCACAAGTGCGTGATTTATAGGCAACACATTTATTATACGCCCTATCACTAACAAATACGCACACAGTTCGTTTCAAAAATATACGACGCATTTATGACGACCGCGTTGTCAACAAGTTCAGTTTTTTAGGGAATAGAATGGTAATTTTTTTGAAAAAAAAAATGTTTTTATTTCAATTAACGATTATACTACCGAGTCTGAACGTCCTGTGTAAATTTGGGCACCTTTAAAAAAGGCCTCCCTGTATGTGAAGTTTTTTCTACGTTTTTTACGACTCTCCGTGGTAAAAAACTCTCAAGAAGCAAGATCCGAGACAGTTTTCTGTGGGCCGCACAGTGACTACTCCGTGTCGGGAGTCGAACCCAGGTCCCTCGGCGCTATAATAGCTTAGCAAGTACCTAACCGTTATAACCAACAACAAACATCGAGCACTATGTTTTTAAATTACCGACCTCTGAGAGTCGAGTTAGTCTCGAGGAAACTATAAAGTGTTTGACGAAAACACAAGAACCCACCAGGTTAGTGAAGTAGTAGCCGCCCTCGCCGGTCATTAGTCGCTGCGCGTTGCAGAAGCGAGTCACGAAGTTGATGTTGCTGACGAGGCGGGGCGGGTTCGCTTTCAGCACCTGCGATTCATGGGTACAGTGGACTGTGGCTACTAGGATGTCCCGAAGGTCTTGCTGGGGTCATCTTTGGTTGATGTGTCACTGTGGTAGGGCGACACAGCAGCATCTACTGTGGCACGAATGGGCAGGTTCACACGGGGAAGTGCCGCGGCGTCACAAAAGACGGCGTCAAGTGTAAGTACTATACTTTCGCGTAAACTAGAAACAGATATGGATCCATGATCGATCCCTGAGGAACACCCATTTGCACTATTGACCCCGACAACGATATACTATTTATTATTACTTTTGTTCCATGTCGGTAAGATACGGGGAAATAAAGTCAATAGGAGATTTGCGAATACCATAATAATCCTATTTCTTTACAATAATTGTATGATCTACACTGTCAAATGCCTTGAAAAGTCACGAAAGACACCAATGGCGTCATTGCAGGTTTCCCTATGCTGCAGGATACGCGTGACGTAATTTTATATTCATTAAAATGAATTATCATTTTATCCAGCATTATTTTCTCAAACACTTCGCTCAAAGCTGGCAAGATAGAGACGGGATGGCAATTAGAGGCATCGACCGGCCCTTCGCGAGGCGACAATCACGGTGAAGATTATAAAGCTAGCAAGATAGGGACGGGACGATAATCAGAGACATTCTTCGACCGGCCCTTCGGGGCGAAACTCACGGTGAATATGAGCCGCGGCAGCAGCTCGTCGGCGGAGGCCGGGGCTCCGCAGAGCGCCATCACGTGGCGGCAGCAGCGCCGCACGCGCGCCAATTTTCCGCCGGGGGCGGCGCACCCGTCCATGCCCAGCAACTCTGCCAGTCGGACCAGCCTTCAGATACACATTTCCGCGACCGTGGCCGTTCAATTAAGACGGCAAAAATCGCAAGAATAAGTATCAGTCTTTACGAGTCCCACTGCTGGGCAAAGGCCTCCTCTGTAAAGGATAGGGTATTCCACTACGATACCCCACTGCTGATTGGCAGACTTCACATATCTTCGAAATATTTTTTATGTTGTTATTATTAAATGTGAAGGTTTCCTCACGATGTTTTCCCTCACCACTGAGCACATGATAATTCAGCATTTAAAATTTACTTTTTCATTAGTTTTGGTTTGTGATTACCCTCTTAAGGTTACCATATTTTTCACCTGAAAAATCTAAAGCCATGTTTTCATTTCTTCACTTCTTGTAATGTATCATCGGAACATTTTGGTCGACACTTTTACGAGATTTTTATGTTTTCTCGTAATATTTAATATAAAGAAACTAATTAATGTTCCCAACTGAAGTTGGCTCCGGGAATTTTGTGAATGCTTCAAAATATCATTAAGGAGCGGGGTATTAAGGAAATACATTCAAGTATGAGAAGCCGATACAGAAATATACGAAAAAATTATAGGAATACCATTGTGATTTATTATTTACTAAAAAGGTAATAATTTACGTAAAAAAAAATGCTTTCACCACGCATCAGATCACGTGCCAAAACTAAGATATATTTCTAATATCTCAGAAGACGTAACGTCAACCTTACGTCGTCTTCGTTCAGTGTAGCTGACTGTAGCTTCTCAGTACATACTTGCTAATGTTATGTATGTCCACAAAAATAGAATGACTTTTCAAGATTTAGTAATGTGCATGATGTAAATACTAGGAACAAGCATAAATTAGTTCTACCCTCAACTAGATTGCGTAGAATAAGTAAATCTTTTATGGGACAATGTATACGCTTTTACAACAAAATCCCAGAAAACGTTCAAAATGATCTGTTGCTAAATTCAAAAAACTTGTAAAGGAACGTTTGTGTGTTAATGGCTATTATAGTATTAGTGATTATATGAATGATAACACACTCTGGATGGAGTTTAATAGGAGTTTAATAATTGTACACATATTTGTAATTTTTTTGGCAAGTAAAAAAAAAATAATGTCCCGCTGAGTTTCTTACGCCGGTTCTTCTCAGGTCAGTGGCTTACCTTCCGAACCGGTGGTAGAGTTTTTTGACTATCAATAAGTAAGTGAATGCTTCTATGTTGAATAAAGATATTTGACTTTGACTTTGAAAGTGTACTGGGGCACTCGGCGATAGATGGAACACTCACCGCTGATCGCCTTGTACAGCAGCTGCCTGCAGGTGGCGTTGTTCCTGTCCAGGTTGCACTCCAGGTGCTTCTCGCCCACCCAGCTGAGCTGCTGGATCCTGTCGGACATGGCGCGGTCCGCCCTCTCGTCGTCGGTGCCGGCGGGGGAGAACACGACAGCCGGCAACCTGTAAAGGATCGCCATTAGGCGGGCAATGGCAGAGTGGACCTGGAAAAGAATGCTGCTTTTCTTTTTGCCAAAAAAAAAACATTGCCCTTTAGGATAACATTCTATCCTGTGTTGTGAGGACGTTTTTAAAACATAGTTATCACGTGGACAAACACCCAGATGCGAAAAAGCTGTATGTGTATCACGCATATTGTTGTTCCCGTGGGAATCGAACCCACGACCCCCGATGCTATAGCCAACACATAGCAAACTGCGCCGCGGAGCCATCAAAGCTCTGTAAGGAGTTTCTTTGGGGATTGGACTGGATAAAACCGACGGGCGAGAACACGACAACTAGCAACCTGCAAGGGATCGTCATTAGGCAGGCAACGGCAGAGTTGACCTGGAAATATTCTGTAAGAACTTTCTTGATCTCTTTATTAGACAGGCAATAACCTTAAGAAACTACTTACAGATTTTCTTGAGGGATTGGACTAGGAAAATCCGTAAGCAGTTTTATACAGGTATGGCGTCTATGTTTTATGGGTACCTTAAGCAGAAGTACTCGTTGATTGTGGTTGTTGAGGGCCGGAAGATGAAATAAGCTTTTTCCGTCGGTCTAGACGACAATTGATTTTCATTACACAATTTCACAGCAATCCACCACAAGAGATGAAGAACAAAACAAGACACCCAACATTTATTTTAACATTGTAAAGTGTTAAATATAATTTAACTGATTCACAGAATTCGTGGTCACGGGAGAAACTACTATCGTTAGGTATTATATCACTTATGGCATTATAAAACCACGATGTTATACGGGGATGAGCAACCTTTTTAATCAATGGGCCAATTTAAATTTCAAATTTTTTGGCGGGCCGCACATAATAATTTACGAAAATTTATTTATAATAAATATTAGAATAAAAAAATATAAAAATAAAAAAAAGTTAAGATTTCATATACAAATTTTAATGCAAGGTTAAAACAAACAAGAAAAGAACAGAAAAACGAACAAAAAAATATTTCAGTTCAGTATGTACTACCATTTCATTATAATTAATTTTATAACAATATATTGATGGGAGAAATTCAATAAAATAAATTCAATTTTAGAAATGCTTGGCGGGCCGCATGAACTTGTTTATGGGGCCGCAAGCGGCCCGCTGGCCGCGCGTTGCTCATCCGTGTGCTATACGATCCGAGGGATCTCAGAGTTGCTAAATCAGGGCATCAGCTATCACCACCGAAATACTCACTCGTGTAGGTACGTCATGGCGTGCTTCTCCACGAAGTCCATAAGTAGCTCCTTCGTCTCCGGATCGACGCTGGCGAAGTGCTGCGACGTGTCCATGTGGCGCATGAACCTCTGACAAGAGAACGCGAAAACGGTTTGGGTTTTTGGGTAACGCGTGCTATAACATCGACCTTAATACGTGCCCACGGGTCGGTTACCAGAAATTTTGCCGGACTGGGTGGCCTAGCGCCCATGAAGAGGAGGCTTAAGAAGGGTAAGGTAAGTTGTGGTTAAGGTTCGCGTAAGATTGCGCCCTCGTGTTCCCGTATCCCCGGCTGATGCGAGAGACAGGTGCAACGTGGGTTTTTCAGTGGGTACCCGTTTGGGACCCCCACATACCCCTGCCCCTCCCCAATCCGGCGGCAGGGGATCCATAAAGGATTCTTTCCCACGTCAGCTCCATGGTCAGTCATCAAAAATGACAGTTTATAACGCGAAGGGAACACATGGCTCTGTTAATGATTTTGATGCAAACAAATTTTCAATTTGCGGCACGTCTTGCTGAGAGCAACCGCGATTAAATTACCAGCGTTTTACCCAAGTTACAGTTGAAGCCGTGATTGGTACGAGAGCCGAACGAGGTCGTAGTAAAGTAGAAAACGTAGTCCAGATTAAGAGTACTTCTTGTCTCGGACAAAACTGAAAAAGTAAGCTTACACGTCGCGAATTCATCTAGGGTGGTAGGGCCACGCAACCGCTCCGGCTGTTGCAGGAACGGGCAGGTCCGTACCAAGACCTCACAGAAGACCGGGGTGAAGTGGAAGCGTTTCGTCTGGTGAGTGAGGTAGCCGGGGCCCGCCAGCTCAGTAGTTCACTGGCTTCTTTTGTCGCCTCAGGGCCTACCTGGTACTGTCTCTGCACCCTCTCGGAGAGTTCGTCGACCGTCATCACGTTCGAGCACTTGATCACGTCCATTATGAAGCTGTGCACGAAAACGCGCGCGTCCCGATCCACCTGGGCGGGCAGGCTGGGGAAGCGGACCCGGAAGTCCCTCTTCATGCCCTCGTTGACCATAGAGGGCACCTTGAACTCCTGGAGCCGCCGCTCCGACTGGTCGTGTTCGTCTGGGTGAGGGGAACGGTATACTTTCAAACGGGGCACAGGCCATTCCAAACATAAGGCTGCTCGGACTACTTAAATCCATCAGAAACAAAAGAGCTACGGCGGTAGGGCCACGCAGCAGCCTCGGCCGTTGCACGAATGGGCAGGCTCGTCCGGGTAAGTACCACGGCCTCACAGAAGACCGGCGTCAAGTGGAAGTATACTTTCGCGTTTCGTCTGGCGAGTGAGGTGGCCGGAGCCCAATTTTCAAAAGGTTGTCAACGCATCTGGAACCCACGGGTGTAGCAGATGTCCATGGGCGGCGGTATTCACTTAAAATCAGGTGAAACGTCTGCTCGCTTGGCAACTTTTCACTTAAAAAAAAATAAAACGTAGACCAACTAATAGGTCTAACTGTACTAATGTGGAACGCAGCCCGTGAGGTGATAAAACGTGGAAGCAGGACGTCGCCTGTTGCTCTCTCTCGCACTTACGGGTCTTACGGGGAGAACACAGTGGTGCGTCACTACGCCAGCCCGTGAGTAAGTGCGACAGAGAACGCAACAGGCGGCGTCCTGCTTCCACGTCTTTTATTACCCCGCATGCGAGTGTTTGACATTAGTATAGTATAGTTACTGCGATTCGCAATACAAGGAATGAAGCGAGAAATTCATTTACTCATACGCCGAATGCCATCGGACATTCTCTCTCTATCTAGAAAAAAAAGTGAAGTAACGGCCTATACATATCGCTCTGCACAGAAGGTATTAGGGCATAGTCCACCTGGCGATTCCATTGCGGATTGACGAACTTCACATATATACGATATAGTTCTTTTTGTTGTTATTTCGAAAATATGTAGGTTTCCTCACGATGCGATGTTTTCCTCCACCGCTGAGCACGTGATCGAGCTCCCCATCTGGTTATAAGTTTTTTACCACCATAATGTTACACAAAGCAACACCCTCATTGACTCAACACTTTGATACCTGTGCTGCTCTTCTTGAAAACGCTGAATTTGAGCAGATTCGCCTTCTTCAGCGTCTCGCTCTGACGCAACCGTTTCTCCTCGAACTTGGAAAATGAAGAGTTGGATGACAGCTTCTGGCTGCGCTCCGCTTTCTTCTGTTCTTGTCTGGGCAAAGTCGCAGATGACGCCTTCTCTGTAACGTTGGTATCATGGAAATTTCCGCAGACGTTTTTCAGTAGTTTTTTTTTTTTTTAATCAAAAAATGAATGCATTGCCTCGCGCTTGAGATAATGATTACGTGCACTTGGTGATATTAGCAATTGTCGTATGCAGTAAAAAGACTAACGCGCCGATTTTGAAACACTGATCAACGTAGAAGTTAACTAATCGGCTGTCAATTGCCATTTAAGTTGCAAGTTGATCAATCCGAAGAGATTAACCAAAAGATGGTTAATCTCTTCGGATTGATCATTCCGATCATTAAGAAGATCAATTCAGAGGGTTTAACCATCATTTTGGAAACTCAAATGACATTTGAAAAGCCATTTCACAGCTGATTAGTTAACTTCTACGTTGATCAGTGTTTCAGAACCCTGGCGTTAAAGGCTCCTACATGAATATCAGGTAATATTTAAATATATTATCATAGACGCGCCCGAATTCAGTTATTTTTAATTGATTCAATAGTCGTCAAATTAATCTGCGATATTGTCTGAAATTGACGCCAACTATGCTATCATACTATATAACAAGGTAATCCAAGAAACACTCTCTGTTATCATATAGGCTTATTAGTAATAAGTTATTACTATTTATAGTATCGTCACTCCTGAGCACGTGCCCTCGCTCTAAGAACGCGCCTTCCCATAATTCCAGAACTATTTGTCAGTTTTTTTATCCTATCGTATTAATTAACAAATATCAATGCGCGCATAATAGTCGTTGTCGATTAGTTCATTAAAAAAATCACTGAAATAATTTCTTATACTTTTTTTTTCTACAACAGCCTCAAACTTATTGCGGAGATCGGCTGTCCATAGCTTAACACGTTCCCGCCTGTAACTTAGGTATTTGGTTACTTAAAGCATCATATTAGACCTTCCACGAAGCATTTGAGTTAACACTAGTGTACCTATCATATTCGGATTTTACCGCGTCACGAAAATAGCTTTCTTGCCACATCCGATTGTATCTATTAAAGCTGACCTTGAAAATGTAACGGGAGTTATCTATAGCTGTTACAAAACCGTATATCTTGATACAGACATCGGCGGCGATAACTGCGGAGTGGCCAAGGTGAAGTACAGACCATGAGAAATCCATCGAGTTATATGTTAATTAAATTGCCCAAGATCGAACGCCGTCGACAACACCACTCGCTGTGCGACTACCTACCTACCTCACACTTAAGATGTTGATGTCTTTATGCGGCGCTAGCCTTTTGACAATATGAAAGTGAGGTATTTGCCGTGGAGGCTCAATCCGTAATGTACCATTTTTGCGTTTATTAAAACTCGTAACAGAAAATTTTAATTCTTCTCATTCAGACCAGAGAAACTGTATATAATGGCTTTAAGGTTTATATACCCTTTCTTTCCGTACTTTATATTACAATGGCGTACTAGTAGTATTTTACTGTAACGATGTTGGCTTATGACGCTTCTAAAGATTAAATGATGCCCAGGCCTAGTTTTATTTATTCACTGCGAAGTTTTTGGTCATGGACGCTTCAGTGTATAATAATGACAATGTTTTTGTTAGCATTTAACCACCAACGATGACAGAAGATATACATTAATTTACTATTAATTTAATGCCTGTTACTTTTAATATAATCACAATGATCAGTGCAGTTTAGTTTTAGTGGTTGTTACTTAACATGGATAAAAGAAATAAAATATAAGTTCTTTCAATTCCATCTTCCTTTCTAACTTAAAGAGTGCTTATTGCAAGAGTTGCAGCAATACTAGTGTTTTCCTCTTAAAAAAAGGAAAAAACACGAAAGTTTACTAAACACCACAGATAATCTATTCTCCATTACAAACAATCTTTGGCTTTAGACCGGCCTATGTACCATTTTTGTAAATTAAGCTTTAAATAAATAAAATCTAGACTGATACTGAGTTCAAACGTAACATTGCTGTAGTCATTATAATCAATGGGAAGCATTGTCACTTTTTCTGACAGTTATTTCAGACCATACAAGCTTTACAAATGGGATATCCATTTGGTAAGAAATAAATGAACATAATGGTCTGTACTTTAACATCACATTAAAAAGCAATCAATATTAAAATAGGTAAATATAAAATCCTCACAAACAACATATTAGGAAATTTAATTAGGAGTATCAGTTCTCATGAAACTGTTCTTCCAAGATTGATTCTGGCATAGAATGACATCACAACTTTACTTTTTTTGTATATTAACCATACAAATCCTAATCTTCGCTTTCATAAATTTTAGAAGAATAATCAAAAAGTGTAGGACAAATATAAACATAAATATAAATAAATAGTGGCTGTTGATGTCAACAAAATTAATTCACTGTGAAGTTCAATTAGCATTTCAATATTCATTGCATACTTAACACAATGCAAAGATAGTCTTTTTATGCACTCCATTGTGTTCCAGATCTGATAAGGGCTATCTTGTAAAAATTAATTAGATTATGAACACTGCTGTTTAAAATTAATGCTCATATTTTTGTGACTATGTATTTCATGAAATACTGATGCTATCAAAAATTTTAATGCACGCCACGTCCCAACTCCACTGATGGATATACTTTGAGCCTGATATTTCAAGTTCTCCAGCCATCCTTGACATGCTGGACAGTTTCTTCCATCAGTCATATTAAATAAACAGATAAACCTTTTGTCGTTACAAAAAGTTTTCTATTGGAAATATAAAAAAAATACAATATTAAGTATGTTTACCAATTTTTACAATGTTTAAAAATGTTTTATAAATTGTAAAAAACATCATCTAATTTAAAAGCAATTCATGTACTTGTGAACCATATTGTATGTTGAGAAAATATAAATTTGTTGTTGTTTAAAATTAATAACAATCCAACAAAATTTAAATTAGGAAAAATTGTATACTTCATTCCATTTTTCTTCTTCTTCACTGTTTTTTTTTTTCTTATTCTATATTGTACTGTAGGAATCAGTACAATAATAAATAAACTATGAAAATTTAAGTTTTACATACCCGCTCTTCTTTGGCGTTGCAACTGTTCTCTGTGACATTTTGAGCAGTAGCCCTGCCATTGGGGATTACCGAAGTAATCACATCCATTCTTACACTTCAGGTCACTCTGGTCTATTCTCAGTGACGGCATCTTGGAAGCAAACATCATATATTTATATGATCTCTGAAGGTTTGGCCCGTACCACATTTTAACAGCCATTTATATAAAAACAGGCTTAATCAATAAGTAATGATGTATTTTTATAAAATTATTGTTAAAATTATTTAAGCAGTTTTTCGCTAACATTCAAAGGAACACGCAAGCTTTGCAATGTATGTTTCTAAACAATGCTAACAGGGCAGTATTTCCTACTACGGCAATAACGCCGTAAAACGGCGCTATCCGTTATATAGGTTTAGCTTATCATAAATATGTACTTAACTCTATCTTTGATAATGTAATGAGTGAATAAATGTATTCCTCAGCCTACCGAAGTATAAAAATAATTACTAACCTTCGAAAATAAATTAACTTAGAATCTTCTTCTCCGCTACTCCAGAATAGTCATTAAGTACGGCTAATTATAAATAAACAGGTAATTATAAAAAGTCAACCTCTACACCTGCTGAAACAATTGTTTTATTTTGATTTGACGTTTTCCTGTCATAGTAAATTAGTAAACTCCTCTTAAAAGCCAAAGCAAAGCAAGTCTTACAGCCACAAATCTGAAATATACATAGGTTTTTCATTTGAAAATAATTTAATAAATAAAGACTTAAATATTTTTATATCGATACCATTTTTAATAATTAATAGAACCCATTTATAATTTAAGCAACGTTTTTGTTCAATAAGAGGACAGAGTCATCCTTACTGTCATGTTCACGGTTTTTGATTACAATTTTAGTTTAAGGTTTTATGATTTTTGCAATACAGCACTGATGCTGTATATGCAAAAATCATAAAACCTTTTAGCTAAAACCATTTAACTGATTAAACCACAATTTTTCACGAGAAGTCAAAATGTAATTTTACCTTTCGACTGGTGAGCTAAATGGTGCGTTTTTTTTATTGGGCTCGCATGTGCAACCCCACAGGTTACAGAGGCTGTAATCGCTCAACTTCAGGTGAACCGCCTGCATTCGTGCCAATTATCACATAAGTCTATATACCATGATATTTTATACTAGAATGTTACGCGCGTACATAATCAACGGTCGTAAGTTTTCCTATTTCTAAACAGAGTGACAACACGCATTCACACGTTTCGTTCGAATGATATTAAAGGATAGAGTAATTTCAAATTTCATCCACTTCACCTCGATGTTTAAGGTTCCACAACAGCGTGATGTCCTGCCTCGCACCGGACCAACTGCCGCCGGTGGTCTTTCCGAACTGTTACGACCTGGGATCCCTCAAGAAGAGAGCATATTCTTTTCTATAAAGCCGGCAACGCATTTGCAAGCCCTCCAGGGTTGCAGATGGTCATCCTGTGAGCCTGCCGCTCGTTTGTCTCTTTTATCCATAAAAAAAAATTAAAGCAATAAGAAAAAAGTACGGCCGGCAAGTGTTTGTCACTTTAGCTCTAAATCTCGAGATACATCAGTCTTTCTCGTACCCGTATTAGACTTACTTGCTGTCTCTTTCTTTGTTTGTAACGACAACGTCACAATTGGGACAACATAGTTGTAGTCCTGTAGTACAAAATATTATTGTCTTCATAAAAATAAACATTAAGATATTTAACTTGAACGCAAAAAGGTTTTTATTTAATTTAAAAAATACTACCGAGATAAGTACGTATATGTATAGGAAAATAATGAAGTCATAAGAATATTCAATTTAGGACATTATTTAATGTAGGAGTATAACATTAACAAACAATTCGGTTGTTTATCCCTTAACATCATTAAGGGATAAACAACTGAATTTCAAAGTACCTTTACAAAAAAGAAAATTTTTCTTCTTACAATTTTTTGCACATTTTTCTAAACGTAAGATTAATTCTGGCTCCTAACAGTTTCTTCCGTGTCGGCAAACTGTGGTACCAAACGTCATTGGTCGGTGGTTGCATGAAAAGTATACTGCCATGTTCTAGATTAATTTTAACTGAAACACAAAATTTAAAAATACATGAAAAATAGAACAAACATGTAATAGTATAATATAAATGATGGCAATCTCTACTATTAATCATATCTTCATCAAAATGCTTTCTGAAGATCTAGAATTATCGTGCACTGAAGTACCTAGAAAAAGATATAAAAATAAATAATGTTTTATTTTTAAACAGTAGTCAAAATAACATGGGTAAAACACTTATTAATATTGGAATTGTATAAAAACCATAACGATCGCAACATTAAAAGTAACTAACTTTGACATAGAAACTACCGTTACCATAGAAACCTAAATTGAAAACTATTATTATAATTTGCCAATTGGGTTAAATAGGAGTGAAAATGAACTATTTGCAAATATCGGATGGGCAATACACGAGAACTATCTATACAATGGTGAGTCATTTACCTTAACGTATACTTTAAAATCTTTTTCTTTAAATATTAAAAACATGCCAGGCCCAGGCCCTTCAGTGGTGCCAAATTGACTGTCGGTATATCGAGGTGCTGAGGTGTTTGTATAACAAGGCTACGATGTCCGTCCAAGTACAGTCCAGTAGTATAAAACTTATTCAACTGCAGAAAGGAGTAAGACATGGTGATGTCATATTCCCGAAAATCTTCGCAGGGCGTTGGAAGATGTTTTCAAGATTCTGGACTAGAAAGGACGAGGTATTGACATCAATGGCGAATACATCACCCACCTTCGGTTTGCCGACGACATAGTCATCATGGCAGAATCGCTGGAGGACCTTGGTAATATGCTCAATGATCTCAACGGGGTCTCCCAACGGGTGGGCCTTAAGATGAACATGGACAAGACGAATATCATGTCTAATGTCCGTGTCACGCCTATACCGGTTGTTGTTGGGAGCACTGAGCTCGAAGTTGTTGACGAATACGTTTACCTAGGACAGTTAGTCCTGTTAGGTAGGTCCAACTTCGACGCAGAGTTCCATCGGCGAATCTAACTCGTATGGGCAGCGTTCGGGAAACTTCGGCATATCTTCTCGTCTAATATCCCACAATGTTTGAAAACAATGTCTTCAATCAATGTGTGTTGCCAGTGATGACCTACGGGACAGAGACGTGGTCCTTCACTGTTGGCCATATGAGGAAGCTCAAAGTCGCTCAGCGAGCTATGGAGCGGGCTATGCTCGGTATTTCTTTGCGTGATAGAGTTCGTAACGAAGACATGCGCAGTAAAACTAAGGTAACCGACATAGCTCAGAGGATTAGCAAGCTGAAGTGGCGATGATGGCTGAAGCTCGTAGAACCGATAACCGTTGGGGAAGAAAGGTTCTCGATTGTCAGCCTCGTACTGGTCATCGCAGTGTAGGGCGACCCCCCACTAGATGGAGTGACGACCTGTGCAAATGAGCGGGAAGTCGATCGATGCAGGTGGCTCAGGATCGTACTTCGGCGCAGTCTAAGGGGGAGGCCTATGTTCAGCAGTGGACTCAAACAGGCTGATATGATGATGATGAATTAAAAATATTACTTTAAAAGGCTGAATATGCTATACCTTTTGCTTGGATCATTAATGTATTTTAAATCAATAATATTTTAATACATAAATAAATATGTATCTAATATCATTGTTCTAAATGGAAAGAAAATAATATCAAAGTTTCTTAAAGATATCTAGGTATATATTATTACTTCAAAAACATAACCATGTATAATTAATTATGTTCAAATTCGCCCACATGTTTATGAAGAAAATACGCATGGCAATGTAGGTGAGGTCCGTGTCAAAATTCGTCATAAAGGAACTTCGGATTTTAAGTCGACGTGTTTAAAATATCTGTGTTAGTTTGTTCTAAAATATTACGTTTGAAGTGTAAGCAAAAAGAGCGACCTAAGTAATATCTTCAAGGTATAAAACTTGAGGTATTGGCGACGAACGAAAACATCAATCAAAACAAACACAACTAGCCTTCAACGCGCGAACACCCGGAAATATGAAAGCAAATGCGATAATACTGTGACATAAGGCAACACTATCGTTAAATCAACAACACCGCGCCCATACGGAAAAGATATGTTGACTTTATACAAATTTTTGAAGCGTCCGACACACTACGAAAGTGCTTAACTCAAGATTGCCAAATTTTTATAAATTGCTAAAATCATAAATGGCGAATTTCTTTAGCGTTCTAATAATATATTAATAGATAGACAATATCCAGATTTTTCTGGATATTTGTCTGGGGTACTATTGCCAAACCACAGTGCATAGATCACAACATAGTTTATTTAATTGTATTTTCATTTTCGGCATCTCGAAAACGTAAGACTGTGGACTGGAACTTAGTTTGAAAATAGAAGACCGTACAAAATCCAAGTTACATCATTTTAACAAAGACTGGCGAAATTGCGATTAAAATTGCGCGCACTCTTTAGCAATCGCGAAATAATTCGTTAAACGATTAGATTAACGACGCCGTTATCAAAACGGCTATATCGGGTCAGCTGCATGCAATAAAAAGTAAAGTAAAGTAAAGTAACAGCCTATACATGTCCCACTGCAGGGCAATAGCCTCCTCTATATAGAGGGTATCAGGGCATAGTCCACCACGCAGCCCCACTGCGGATTGGCGGACTTCACATATTTTCGAAATATATTTTTTTTGTTATTATTTCGAAAATATGCAGGTTTCCTCACGATGTTTTCCTTCACCGCGGAGCACGTGATAAGTCAGCACTTAAAGTTAAAACTTCATTGGTGCCGGCACCGGGGATCGAACTCAGGTTGCTCGAGTATATTGAATTAAAGGCGAGCGCCCGGACACTGAGCTATCACGGCTGCAATAAAAAACATACGTAACTACTGTTTTTGATAGTCCTTAATTTTCCTTGTTGTTACTATTGTATTTTATTATTTGTATTTTACATTTTTAGGTCCGTATCTGACGGATAAAAGTTTTACGTTTAAATTCTCTCTGAGACAAAATAAAGCTTAGTTTAAAGGTCAAGTGACTGCAGGTCTATTGGCTTTATGAAAGCAATTTAATAGGGAAGCAGTAATCAACTGCCTTTTTTGGTTTATTTATTAGTCTATTTAAATTTAGTTTTGCATATATACAGCTTTATCACTAATTCTGATATTACTATCAGGAAAAACAAGGTCAGAAAAAGTTGGAGAAAGAATGTACGATGTATTTTTATTCTATTCAGGTACGAAATAATAAACAGACATCACTTGGGCCACATCGTTCTTTTCGACTTCATTGATAAAAATTAAGAATTGCTTCTACTCTTAGGCTTATCTTTGGTGTGCATAAAATTGAGTACACTGAATGTTCACCACATAAAGAGAAGCAGATATCCTCTACCCTCCGAGGTGTGGTCGTAAAAGTGACTGCAATAAAGCCTTCTGAAACCACCACCCCACATTCGTTCCTACAGTCCGAAGCGATTCTAAAATCGAGAAATATGTTCTGACGACGAACATAAATAAATGCTATACAAAAAATATTCATCTAATTTATCCCGTGTGATAGGTAGCGAGCACGTGTATACTTTATACTCGTACAACTTTGTACTTGATATTGGACGAAATGTCAACAGTTGACGGGGCTGGCTAGAACCGAAACTCTCTAGATGTGACGTCATATTGTTCCATACTGCTCTGTTCATAACGCTTATCCATCGTGCATCCGTCCTCATAGCGTAGTGATCGCCATATTTGCAAGTAATTTGCCGATACAGCGCGACTTGTGAGATGTCGAATGTAATTTTTACTAGCGGGGAAAACGCCATTGTCGGCGCCACGACCATCACATAACGATAGGGAATTAGCTACGAATAAACACACTTTAACTACGAATAAATTTTAACTGTATAAGTCTTAAGCAGTATTTAAGTATGATGTTATTACCATAATAAACAACTGATAAAATTCTATTTATTTTATATGGTGACGAAGTTCTTTTAGGGGGTGGCATATTACTGCTTTCGAAATTCAATTTAATGGTCTTATCTGAAGTGTGGCAGACGAAACTGCCGTTAGAATACACATGGACTATTAACGATTATACGCCGCGATTTGTGAACGGTTTGTGATGTCCGTTTGGCATTGGGCTCAGCACGCCGTTGCGCAAATCACGTGTCGTAAGAGATATCACAAGACCGCGATTTACACTCGCGCGCCGCATGCGCCGCGTCCTTACAAGTTCCACTCTATTACAACAGTCTCTTATGAACTTGCCATATAACAGCAAGTTTCCGAAACCCATACGATGGTATATCATAGGTACTTAAGTCTATTGATAACATTATAGTCACATGAGACTATAGCCATTCGCGATGTAGAGGTCATTAATTTAATGCTTAAATAACTTTAAATGTGTCTTCCGTGAAAAAAAAAACATTGTCTCTCATTATGGCCTGATATTCTTACCTATTTCAAAGTCAAAATCTCTTTGTTTAATGTAGATTTGTTTTATGCTCATTTTGAACGTCAAAAAACTACCATCTCTGGCACGTGGTTACGTTTAGCAACTTGATACAAGACGGCACGCATCTGTTAATAAGCACAAGCTGTTCATTTGTTAATAAGTGTCTATTCACAGAATGACGATGAGTTTTCACCTTAAAAGTGTCTATGGTAGAGCACGCAGCTGCGTGAGGATGTACTGCAACACTAAGGGAAGGAAATAATAATAATACGGTAACCGGGGATCACTTTTTTGATGTTGGAAACGAATCTGAAATCATTCAGGTAATCACTTAACATCAGGTGAACGGCTAACTTTTAACATAAGAAACAGGTTATCTGATTCTCCAGGCGGAACGCAAATAAAAACACCACAAAAAGGAACCACCAAAAATTACCAATTTTTTTAGTCTGCTTATTTATGCAGACAGCTACTACTCTTGTATCTTGTATTAACTGATGTTTTTGCTTTCAGTCCCGAGACTATTAAAGCTTCATCTGACGCAGAACCGGTGGGCTAGCCAGAACCCACGGGTTTGGGCCCTCCGCTGTGGGTAGGGCCACGCATGTGCTCATGCGTGCGTTTAACTAAGGTGTGTCATCTAAGGGCCATCGAGGTCGTGGTTCGGACCGAAACCCCGATGGCCGTCGACTGTGCAATTAGCTAATCGGTGGCTGGGGGCGGTGAGAACCGCCCCGGAACGCGGGTGTACCTTGTGTACGCGTTGTGTTGGTCTCGCCGTGCTAGGAGGCCAGGGCGAACTAGTGTGTTTGTTGCTGCACTAACTGTGGGTGTAGTGTTGTCCGGCGGGACCCCCGGCGGTGGGTCCGGCGTGTCTAAGTCCCCTTCCTCGACCGGGTCGATTAGGACATTTCGCGGGCGACGTTTGTTGACGTTCGCGTTTGTGTCGGGTTGGTAATTTGCTGCGCTTACCACCAGAGGGTTGGAGTGATGTTTAGCTACTACTGCGTTACCTACCACTGTATTATGTCACCAATGGCTACATAACTAATTACCATTAGATGGGATAGTTATATTGTCAACTTTAAGTCACTTGTGTATCGGTCTCATTTGTCGCAGATAAAAGAGACGAGATACGGCGACGCGATCAAGACCCTAAATGACGCCATCAACTACAATCCGAACAGGGCGGGCCTTTCGCTGCTCGGCTACTGCTACTACAGGATCCAGTCGTTCGTCGAAGCTGCCAACTGCTACGAACAGCTCGCGGCAATGCATCCAGACGTTCCTGAGTATAAGTTCTACTTCGCACAGGCTTTATACGAGGCGTCCATGTACGATGAAGCATATAAGGTGACAGTGCAGATCACGGCGCCCGAGCTCGAAGCCAAGGTTACGAAATTACAATCAGCAATCAAGTACGGAGCGGAGGATGCGGCGGCGGCCCGGAGTCTCGTGGATTCATATCAGCAAGACAATCCTGACAAGGACATCAACTTGGGTTGCCTTTTGTACAAAGAAGGCCAGTATGAGGAAGCGCTGCGCAAGTTCACTAGGAGCCTAAATATCCTTGGTTTCAACGCGCACTTGCATTACAACGTGGCATTGTGCTACTATAGACTGAAGGAGTACCCGCAAGCGTTGAAGCATATAACATTGGTGATAGAGAGAGGTATCAGGGACCATCCCGAACTGGCTGTTGGCATGCAAGCCGAGACATCGGAGGTTAAGTCCGTGGGAAATACGCTCACCCTCCACGAAACCGCACTGACTGAAGTTTTCAATCTAAAGGCGGCTATCGAGTACCAGTTGAAGAATGTAGAGGCTGCAAGAGAAGCCCTCGCCGATATGCCGCCGCGTCACGAGCACGAACTAGACGCGGTTACATTGCACAATCTGGCACTTACCTCGATAGACCTTAGGCCCACCGACGGCTTTGAAAAGCTGCATTTCCTCCTCCAACAGGATCCGTTCCCGGCGGAAACGTTCGCCAATCTCCTGCTTCTTTACTGCAAATTCGAGTACTACGATCTGGCGGCCGACGTTCTGGCGGAAAACGCCCAGTTCACCTACAAGTACCTGACGCCATATCTTTACGATTTTTTGGACGCCGTAATTACAAGTCAAACGTCACCAGAGGAAGCCTTCCAGAAGTATGAGGACATCGCGTCGAAGCACGCCGAGCAGCTGAGGAAACTAACCAAAGTAGTACAAGAGAGCCGTTCCCAAGGTGACAACGATCAAGTCAAGAAGGCAGTTGTCGAGTACGAGGAAGCTCTGGAGCGGTACATACCAGTGGTGATGGCGCAAGCGAAAATATATTGGGACATGGATAATTACGGACAGGTCGAGAAGATCTTCCGGAAATCCGTGGAGTTCTGCAACGAGTCGGACGTGTGGCGGCTGAACGTCGCTCATGTGCTTTTTATGCAGGAGAATAAGTACAAAGAGGCGGCGAGCTTCTACGAGCCGATAGTCAAAAAGCACTACGACGACATACTAAGCGTGAGTGCGGTGGTACTGGCCAATCTCTGCGTGTCTTACATTATGACATCGCAGAACGAGGAGGCCGAGGATATCATGAGGAAGATAGAGAAGGAGGAGGAGCATCAGATATTCGAGGACCCGCAGAAGAAGTTCTACCACTTGTGCATCGTTAACCTCGTCATCGGAACATTATACTGCGCAAAAGGGAACTACGAGTTCGGCATTTCGCGCGTGATAAAGTCCCTCGAGCCGTTCAACAAACGCCTGGGCACGGATACTTGGTTCTACACGAAACGGTGTTTCCTCTCTTTCCTAGAGAACCTGGCGAAACATCTTATAGTGGTCAAGGATAGCACTATAAGGGACTGCGTTCAGTTCCTCGAAGGCTGCGAGACCTACGGCCGTCGCGTAAGTACTGTGATCGGGAACCCCTTCCAAGAGGAGGAGGCGAATATGAAAGCAAAGCAGACGGTGACGTACGAGGCGCGGCTGCTCCGCTATATGTTCTTCAAGCTGCGGAACATCGACGACTCGGTCACCATTAATAAATACGAGGACCTGAAATAGACGCTCCGATGACAGTCGTAGTTTATATTCTCGCCATAACACTAATAAAGCTTATAGAAAGATATAATATTATAAGAAATAATTTTGATGATGAAATTGGTGCAGTCGCGATATATTTGACGTCACCGATCATGGAAGAAGTCTACAAATAATTTTCAGGATATAACAACCTGTACAGGTGTGCGGGAAATCGATGGATGCAGTTGCCTCAGGATCGTGCTTCGTGGTGGTCTTTGGCGGAAACCTATGTTTAAACAGACTGAAATGATGAGGATTATGATGGACAAATGTGTTTGTGCAACGCTTCTGCCACAAAGGTTATTACTACGTTATTGGTGATTCAAAACAAAAACAAACAGACCTGGTGAGATGCATCTTTTATCAGGACCTCGCTTCCGACTGTCCCGGTGTTTCAACACGAATGGTCTCTCCTGGCCCAGGGAGACAGAAGCTATTGGGAAGCGAGGGTCCAAATCGGGCTCGTTGTCTCTGTGCTCGCCCATATGGTCCAATCCGTTCTTGTATCTGATGTGAGTGAACGGATTACTCCTAAAGCTTGGCCCACTGATTCTATTCGAAATAGAACCAGTAGCGGATTTAGGCTTAGGCTAATGAGGCTCGGGACTAGGGTGTCAAATAGGTATTGGCTTCGACGTCGGGGTTAATGGGTTCGATTGCCACACAGAGCAACTATTTGTGTGACCCACAGATAATTGTGTTAATCCGCTAATAGAACAGTTTTCATCTTTATAAATTAATTTCTTTGCCCAAAACATTTATCTAAAACGTTTCCTGTGTTTATGCAGCGTAGAAGCAACATGCAGTATCTTTAACTTTTATAATATTGCTAGATATATCTTTTGGTGTTTTTGTCGTACCTGTTTACTAATACGAAATCGTAGAGAATCCCTTTGAGTGTGAATAGTAAGTCCCTTATTGCCAGCACGGGAGTGGGCCAGGCTAGTGCAGGCACAGTGATTCCGGAATAGGTGTACGTAATGCCTGGGTCCCCATAAGCAACTTGCTGCCTAGGTAACGGGTAGACTTTGCCGAACACCCTGGTATGGAGGAATTTTGTCAAGTTATGGGAAACGGATACCTAAAGCTTGATTTTTTATTTAATTTTTTCTTTCAAAAAGTTCTTACATTTATCAATGTCTACATGTTAATATGTGTGTATGGAGTTACGGGTAAAATAAACTATTCAAACATATTTATGTATTTAATTTTATTCAAATATTTTTTTTTATTCAATCTGTACTTTAAATGAATCTTTTTAAATGAAAAAAGATTCCTTTAATGTAATCGACTGTCGAGTAGCTCCAATTGTTGCTGACATATTTATGGAATACTAGCTTTTCGCTCGCGGCTTCGCTCGCGTTGAAGCCTTTAAATAAATGTCTTTCTTTAAAAAATATGTCCTTTATTAGGCTCTAGACTATCTGTGTACCAAATTTCATTCAAATCGGTTCAGTAGTTTTAGCGTGAAAGCGAGACAGACAGACAGAGTTACTTTCGCATTTATAATAATAGTATGGATTTTGAGGAGACGACAGTTGTAGCTGTCTTAACGTTGATAATAATATGGAGTTAAAGTCTAGCTTATAGTAAGAACGATGTTATTTATTAGCGAAACTGAAGAATACCCACATATAGAGAGTAAAGCGCACACATGCTGTGCGTTGTGAATTGTGCAATTTACATTAACTAAATAGTAAAGTGGGTAAACTCTATTTCAATCGGGGTGCGACCGCGAACTTATTACCCTCATGCTGACGAAGGACCTCCGATAGGATAGGTTATCATAGGTCCGATAGGAAACTACTCGGTACATACATTGATGATTGGACGGGAGTTTAACTATTTACAGAGCGTTTCGTTGCCATCGCTACAATAAATTAACACACGTCTAACGCTACTTGCCAATAATCATAAAAAAATAGTAACGTTAAACAAAATCCATAATTCAAAAAAAAATTTCAAACAAACTAATTAAGTAAAAAAGAAACCAACTTTGTAACATCCTATACAACTCGCGCCACAGCGTCGCATTACAAGCCTCTCCTTCTAACAGTATGTTTTGTCTCTTTGAAATTCATTCAACCCATTCATATGCTTTGTGACCTTTACAAATGAACTTTACGTTATAGTTTTATACGTAAGGGTGTTCTAAAATTGTTTGTTTTGGAAAATGTAATAACTCAGTAAATATTGATGTTTAAAGAATGTAAATGTTTAATACAATTTAAAAAAGTTATCCTCTATATGTGTGATTATTTATTGTCGCGGTGGTAACGACACGCTGTATAATATGTCTATCGTAATTTTCAAATTATTTTTGGCTTAAGTCTAGATGCTGGGGAGCTAAATGGTAACCGACTCGGTAAAGTAAAAACACGCCAAAACTTTACTATTTTCGTGGCCGTCTATTAAGGCCTACGTACTTCTAACCTAACACTTGGATATACATACATTTTTGATTTATATTCTATATCACATTTAGTCCGCACTATAATTTTAAACTAAAGTGTCAACACATTCATTGTGTTTACGTACGTGTAAGCATTTATTGCATTAATAAAAAAATAGCGTTAAATAAAATAAAAAATTATGAAAGCATAGTATGCTAAACTGGCAAAGATCACTTACTTGATTTTTGTCAAGTCACCAGTAAAATATTCCAGAGTATTTTCAAGTTCGCAGAAAAGACTGTTTGCTATAGATTTTGGCATTACTACAGCGTACTCCAAATCCAACCCGTCTTCTTTTATTGATTTCCATATTAATTTATCAGTATCAATTTCTTTTAGATTCGGAGACATTTGTGGATCAAACCCAAGATTGAAATAAACCAGTACAGTTAATATATATATTATTTTTGTAAATGGCAACATTTAAATGACTTTGACGTTTTCACACTATCAAAAAGCAAAAAAACTTTTTCATTTTCATCACTTCATACTATATTCAAGCAATCTGAAATCGCATGTAAACATAAAGTAAATATTAAAAGGCGAGATAAATTCTAATCTAGTCTATTTATAACGCAATACCTACGTACTATTACGTACTTACATATGTACTTACCATGTAACAAAGTGTAATAGTTTGAAATAAAAAATAATAAATGTCACATGCCTGAGTTGCCATAACAGAAGAAAAACAAAGTACCACCTATGGACAAGGAATATCTTGAGTTTGCTGGAAGTAATTTCATACCGTGGTACAAAGTACCCGGAAAATGATAGCTGTAGCGGTTGCCGCTGCCTATTTTTTACTTGTACTATGGCAATACCAAATAAGCTTATGTATTGGGATTTGAGAGATAATGAACCGACTGAACTTCTGAAGGACTCTGCAAGTCTGCATCCATAGTCATGTAATAAATTAAACAGAAAATATGTATTGAATTATTCAGAATCACAAAACAAAAATACAAGAATTCATTAAAAAATTTGAAAATGAAGGGAGGCTTTTCTAAGTGAATTCATTTTAATTAATTAAATTCTAGACATAATGTTATTTAAAAATGATAAATATTTTAAATCACTCGTAAGTAATTAATTGCATTTATTTGAACTTATCTAAAAAGTGCGTGATTTATACGCAACTCATTTATTTACGCGCGATCATTCATAACTAACACGCACACACACAAGCTAGTATTTTTTATGAATGAGTATGACTATCGCGTTGTCAACAAGTTCTGTTTTTCAGGGAAGAGAATGGTAATTTTTTTGAAAAAAAAAGTTTGTTTTTATTACGATAAAAGATTATACTACCGAGCCTTAACCTCCTGTGTAAATTTGGGCACATTAAAAAAAAATCTTCCTGTATATTAATATCAAACGCTACGTTTAACTAGCCTTAAAACTGAAATCGCTAAACCGCTTACTTATTATATAAAAGGTTTAAAATGCGTAATTGTAACGAATTTTGCTAAAAACTAATTACCTCCAAACTCGAATATCTTCCTTACTTTAGCCGTAGGACTCAGGATTTTTGTTTGAATATCAACTCGGGTAACAATTTTACTGATTTTTACTTTGATCATATACTTGGTTATAATCAAACACAATCAAGACAAGTACATAATCAGTTTGTTTTTAATTCAAAAGAAAAAATTAAGAAATCTAAGCGTTATATTAATTTAAAAGGCCAACATAGTTTTATAAAATCACGCGTATGATATTGGAATTTTAGAAGATGCCGTCAGGGGTATGTTAAAATCCCTCGAGTTCTTCAAGAAAATCTGGAACGCCTCGGAACCTGTTAAAAATCGATGATTTTGGATTTTGTTATAACTTCCCAATTCTCCAAAATGTTTGTTGAAAATCTCTCCACAGCCATTATCGTGAATTATTGTACGAGAGCTGAAACAAACCAAATCCATGTTACGTTCGAATCAAATGCACTACAAAAACGGATCTGTATGTAATACACAATACTATACTGAAATTAAAATTACTTTAAATTTTCCAAAAAACAATCCTTGTCATGGTAAACTGAATATTCTCTTATACGTCTTATTGTGTCCCCGTTGTCGAAATCCGTTGTAAAATCATATTCGTATAGCTTTTCAATTAGACCGTTTTTATCCTTTACCGTGTATATGTGCTCACCAGGAAGACCTACTAGCCTTGGAGCTTCTGATAATAACGGCGCCAAACTAATAATTTCATCCGAACCTGGGAGTTCTATGCTATGTCTGGTTTGAGTTCCGACATCAGGTTCCTGTGAATCTTTGAATTGTGCTATAGAAGCGGTAGTAGTCAAAAACTGTTGAATCTCGGCCCCCATATCTGTGCGTAACAGTTTATCTTTTGTTTGGACTACAAATCGACTACAGAAAGCCATGAGCTTTTTGTTTTTCGACATGCAAACTTCGTGCACTAAAGTTATAAGATTTCTTTCAGCATCTTCCTTCAGTTCAGTTAATTTCTTTATTCTCGCTTGCAGGTGCATATTCTCTTGATATGCAATCAAATACAGATGCTGAAAGTTTATATTTTGTGCTTGTACTTCCTTTATTTTCTTTTCCGCTTCTTCAGTGTATTGTGCAAGCCTTTTTTTCGCCATAGACTCTAATTTATAATTAAACTTAATATTTCTATTTTCAAAAATTGATGCTGCTAAAAGAAATGACAAATTCTTCTTTTCTTCCGAAACGTCTTTTAATTTTTGAAGTAGAACTTTGTCAATTATTTCTTGGTTTATTTTTCTTTGAACATTGTATGATTTAAAAATTGTGCATTCTTTAAGTTTTCTTTCTATATCTCCCCATACAAGACTTAAATATTTTGTTATAGTATCATATGTAATTATGGCGCTGTGTTTCAAATGTACTAAACTGTTTAAATATTTATATACGACACTAATATTCATATCTTTTATCTTTCCTGCAGCATGTAAAATAATCTTTTTGTTGTTATTTATGATATAAATAAAAAATCCTGTGGCACATAAAATCGCAAAATGAATAAATCCATACTCCTGGTGGTTTTCTGAATGGTGGATGGTATTAGTTAAAATATCCTGTTTTGGCGGATCATTAGAAACAGTCAAATTTTCATAAATATTGCTTACTTCTTTAAAATGAATACCTTTAACATAATTATGTTTTATTAGAAAAAAATATAATTCTAAATATAAAAATAAAGTAATTACATGTCCTACTGCTGGTCAAAGGCCTCCTTTATACACAGGGCAGTAGCCCACCATGCAACCCCATTGCATTAGGCAAACCACATATCTTTGAAATTTTGTTTTTATTTCGAAAACATACAGATTTGCTCACAATGTTTTCCTTCACCGCTGAGCATGTGATAACACTTAAAATTGCAATTATTAATTTTTATACAAACCGGTTTTGTTGCTTTTCTTCCATGGTTTAATGAAAATGTCAATGCCACACATAACAAACCACATGCCCAAGGTTAATCCTAGCAGCCATTTAAATGCAATGTACATATTCTTTTAGTGATATGGCAATGGTTATTAAAACATCCAAACTGGTTAATTGGTTTCAGACCATGAATTTCTTTTCAGTCATAATTTATTTTGTACAATGTTAAACTGTCAAAATATGTCACTTATATTTATATGTTTTAACTGCCAGTTGTTTTATTTCACACAAAAGAACAGACATTATTGCTAATAATAAAGAAATTAAGATAAATTATTTATGGCAATAGTTGATTATCCATTAGTTTTTATAATACATTGATTTGTTGTAAGGATTGTGTTAGGTTTCCATTTATCTGATTATAATATATTAATTAATTTATATTAACTTCAGTTAACTGTATGACAGCTTGTAATTTTGTATGGCTCTCTGCACTGCAGTCAATATTTTAGCAACTTTGTGGTGGCACGGTTAATCCAATATCAATCCAATATCCCACAAATAATGTATTAGAAGAATTAGAGGTGTGTGGCACAATGAAAAGGAATAATAGGTGTACAGAATAAGTTGAGTGGTGATAGCCTATCTAATTGGGAACAAGGCATAAGGTTAGTCATAGTTTTGTATAAAAAAAAAGAAAAATTGTTAGTGTAATTTGAATGGCTTCATATTACTATAGCAATACAATTGATGTGTTTTTATCAAAATAAATTATCAAATTTTTTAGGCACTGCAGGATTCAAACCTGCATCAACCAGGTGGGAGACAATGATGTTCTAACCAATTATGCTAAATGGCCAATGTCATTATTAATATTATGACCTCAAAGTAATAATATTAATTACTTTATTGATGAAACAACAGCCATAAATCAGAGAGTAGCTGAACACTGCACTAGGAATTAAACCTGTATCCCGGGAATCAGTTATTCCTTATAACATTTCTATCTTAGGACATGACAATCAAGATGTAACAATACCATTTTCAGCTGTAAGATTCATCATTTTTGATATAATAATAATACCAAATACAGTTTCTTATATAATTTAATTGTTTAACTTAAACCATTTTCTAAGCTTAACTTGTATGGACAGTATTAATAACATTACATTCTTTTTATACCATTCCATGTTGTATGTAATGTGTGTTTTCCAATTTTTGTCAAGGAAAGATTTGTAAAACACGCTCATTTCATCAGCTGTAAGATTTTGTTTGCCATCCGGTAAATTCTTCTTTAAATATTCTTCCCGCTCCTGTAAAGAAGGAAAATAACAATCAAAATTAAACTAACACAACTAGTGAAATAATTTATAACTCTCATGTCAAATGATGTTGACATGATTCTTTGTTTTATTAATTTTCAAAACTAAGTTAATAAGTGAATATAAAAATTACCTTATATTTTGTAATGTGACATAAGAATGTTGATTATGTAAATTTACCTGAAAGAATCTTGAGTTATGCTGTGTCCAAAATTTTTGATTCCATTCTTGAACTTCAATACGCAGCTTTCTGTATCTTTCCTCTAATCCACTTTCATTGACCGGTTGCTTGAAAACAATCCTTCTTAAGTTAGAGACTGGGTCTGGTGGTCCTATCATATCAGTTGATATTTTCTTTGCATTCGGTGGCTGAACAGCTTTTGTGTCGGTTGCTGTACTACCGCATCTAAATATCTTAGCCACATTGTGACCAGGATATGCGACACGATGAAGAGATATCATGGGATAATTGTTATATCCGATTATTTACATTTTATTAACCTTTCCCTTGAAATTTTGATTTTGACAGTTAGGAGCAGTGCTACCATCTCTCGAAATAATATTACCGTTGTTCCAAAAATGAGATTCATAATGATATAAACTTTTAAGCACTTTTGGCGCTTTCTTTAAAACTGTCGTCATTGAATGCGTTTTGACGCTAACTTTTTTGTACACAGGTGGTTTTTTATTCGAGACAGTCTCCGGGTCCCTGACGAAGAGGATAAGCTCCAAGAGCGGTGTATGAGATGGTTCTGATGGTGTTCTTTTCGCACGCAGGTCAGAAAAATATGTCACAAGGGTTTGATATGCCTGTACCTGGAGCTAGACCTCCTGCAAGCTCAAGGCAGCGATGGCTGGACGTTGTGAAGCAGGACATCGGCAAGAAGATCGGGCAAAGTGGAGAAGTTTAAGCTAGGTTTTAGGAAGGCAGACCCTGGCAATAGCCGGGAATAATGTCAGGTTTCTACCTGAAGAAGAGATGCGAAGTAAATTAATTGTTTTTGTTATTTAATTTTCGTAAACGATCGTTGGATGTAGATTAAATTGTAATTTCGACGACCTAATCTGTTCCTCTGGATAGGTTCCACCGTTGGTTGTCCAAGTCAATGTTCAAAGAATTATCTGAAAGCCCTTGGATCGTTTCGTGCTCTTTCTTGTTAGTCGAATTTACTAAATTGCGTTATCAGGGGTCGCGAAAATGCATTGGAGAATACAGCGTCATCGTATCATCATCATACATCGTTCGCCTGAGTCCGTTGATCATCTGCCTGCGGAACTCTTCTTCTGTCAAAGAGCTCAAAGCCGCCACAGCGAGCTCCACTCCAAGAAATAATTGCCTGCTGTTAAAATTGTTTTACAGATTTTGGGAAAATAATTATGATCATGTGGTAGCACCGGCTTTTTACAGTCACTGTCAAATTGGCGTATCAAAATGTCATAAGAAATTTTTGATATAGAATTATATAAAAGCCTTTGCAACTGCAATTTGCATTTAAAGACAGTATTCAGTATATTGCTCGCAAATTTTAAACAATTTATTAATTTATAATATTTAATAACAAAAATGAGCCAAAAAACGAAAGATGTTATCGAAGACGATTATTCGGCGAAACTGGACATGTGTCTCACAGACGGGATAATCAAAACTGGTAGGAGAATCTTTTCTTTTAATAAGAACTTTACCATTGTCAAATAATATCTGAAGTTTTACGATTAGTAAAAATAAAAGGCGAAAAATGTTAGTAAAGATTATATAAAATAATAGTAATAACATACAGTTACTGCAGATAAGTTGTCTTCAGTTAGTTACTTGAATTTAATACAATTTAGTCGGATTTTGTTCATATTACAAATAATTGAACTTATTTGCTTATCTCGAGATTATGTTGAATAGTATGTTGTATTTAAATGTTATGTGTATTAAACATGACAGTATAATATGATTTTCAGGGGGTGGGGTGGCACTTGGTGCAATTTCTTCCTTATTGTTCCTGGGGCGGCGGAGGTGGCCAATTATAGCCGGTATGGGCATGGGTTTAGGACTGGCATATTCTAACTGTGAGAATGAATTAAATCCCAAGAAAAATCATTCATAGGAGTTGTGGGTAATAGGTAAACTATTTCCAATCATTAATTTAAAAATAATTCTTTGATAATAATTTTATATGAAAACAATCAATAAAACTAAACTTATCATAGGTGTTTAAATCGAGTTGTTATTAAGTAACATGTGTGCCTTTTAAATAAATAAGATTTGTTTTGATGAATTACTATAAAATGGCCCAAAGGATTTTCATATATAAAAAAGCTGCATAAATTAATGTTAAAATAAATGTAATATGATCAATAATTAATTTTTTTTTCTTTCACTTATTTCTGCTTTCTCATAATGCTGTTATCCATTTCTCCCTGAGAACTTAAATATTGTTGCCATTTTGATTTTAATGAACCAACCAACCAACTTTAACTAATTTGTTTGTATTTACTTAAAAATACTTCACTATTGTAAATATTTTCAGATAAGGGCTTCAAGTAATAAGAATCATGTGGCACCATGAATGCAGAACTTTATGGACAACTCTGGTAGACAATTTGTTTTATAGTAAAATAATGTTGTTTTTCATTATTGTACAAATAATTATTTAATTATTGCCAAGCATGTCTTTTATTCACATATTCTGTCTCAGGGCTGGAACATCACTTACCATTTTGTTATATTCTTTTCAACAATGAAACACATTTCAGTTATATAACAATATTTTATTTTATTGTACAAATTGATACTGGAATAAAGGTTTTAGATTTAGCATTTTTCTATTACATATAGAAATAGTACAGTATATCGAATAATTTGATTAAAGATAGAGAGTATAAACAAAACAACCCATATACAGACAACAAATGTGGTGGATTTTTTAACAACAATACAACATGACAACACAGGTCCACATATAAAACACATTTACATTACAATAATTACAGAATTAAAAATATTATAAACATTGCATACATGATACTTTATGTGAATAATTGTAACTTTGCAAAACATAATATTTATAAACATACATTTTCCGAAACACATTAATGTGACAAAAAAATGCATTATATGAGTGACATTATTTGCGTTAACTTATTCCGCATTATAGCGATTACGCGACAGCAGTAGTTTTAAAGGCGAACACTATTCTCAGGTTGGAAGAACACGAAATGTGGCGTCATTAACGATTCTCTACGCAGCGCTGTCATAGAAAAGTAAAATGCTGCAGCAATTAGTGATTGGAATTTTCAACAAAACCCATATAGTCCCTTAAGATGTTATATGCTAACATTTTTATTATCTCTATGTTAACCTATGCTATACCCACTACTTTGGTGGAAAAATTTGACTAGCAGCACATTGTAAAAAGGTTTTTACAATGGTTTCACTTGTGGACAAATCCTGCCACGTTAATAATACTCCGCAAATACTAACAATTTTCTATAGAAATTAAGTTGAAACTACATTTTAAGACTGTCCACTGTCCAACACTTAAAGACTTGTGTAAAGTGATAGAGAGGTAGATGCAAAGCGACTAAATGTAGTTTCACCTTTTATGTCTAGTTATAAATACTTTATGGTAAATCATACTGGCAAGTCAAAATAAAAGCTCTCGTGACAACAACAAACAGAATTTAATTTTGCTTTAAACAACCTTAAGTCAAATAGATTTTTAGTAGCAATGCAACACTTCTGTAGTTGCGGGCACAGAATTAGAAGGGCTTTTGCAACACCAGTATATAAGGTAGAAAATATTTTATAATTTTAGCAGAATTAATATACATGCAACATCAGCATTCTCATACGTCATATTATTTATTTTATTGTGAACCTAATACAATACGATATCAAGTGGAATATTTGAAACAACATTTTTAATTTCTCCCGCCTAGCAGAAATAGTGTCAAAAATGTATAAGACAAATCGCAATATAAATATGACTAGATGGCTCCACTTTTTACATTTTCTGAATAGATCTCACTCTAGACATCTTTTGATCATTCTATTTAAAATCAATACTCTGTAACTATGCACCTGTGCTCAATAAAACTATGTTCGGTAAATCAACACAATTTTGGTACATTTTCCTATAAACTGAAACCCGGATGTGATGTTATTAATATTGTACTACATATCTTTAAATAATTTTTGATTTATTACAAGAGCGTCGAGTTTCAGGCACTGATGTTAATCTAGATACGTTCAACTATATTGATTATATTGGAAAAAAAAAAAAGATTTATTAAATAAATGAAAAGAAAAATTATGCGCATTAATAGCTGATTGACTTTTTGCCATTAAGTTGAATTGTTTATTAGATTATTCTATCATGCAATTGTTAAAGTAACGCGTGTTACTTTTATATACGTCTCTTTATTGCACCTACCACGATTTCTCCTCACACCCTGGGTTGACTGGTAGTTAACGCCAATAGGCATTAACTACGCCCTTTGTAACCATTTTTGAGGCGTTTTCAATAAAGAATAAATAAATAAATAAAAGGCAGCAAAGGTACAAACAAACCTACACAAGTCTTACGCAAATTGGATCATTTAAATATATATGCCAAGTGCAAGTTTATCCAGGGCAAAACAAGATATCGATTAATTCCTTTAATACTAAATAAAATACCTTGTATGCCTGACCCTTAGGTCGTTACAAAATTATAGGAAACTATCTGATAGGAATCCTGTTTTCCTAAATCAGACACCAAAAAAGACCATCATGTCATTAGAAACGACAAATATATAAAAACGTAAGAGCAAAATAAGAGGATATAGAGAGCTTCGCCGTTTAGTAATAAAAGTATCTATTTCAACAATAAAATTATGGGCCACATGTAATTTTTTTTTAATAATTGGCGTTTAAAGTCGTAATTATGGCCAATCGTGCATAACAATCAAAAATTTAACAACTAGTTATTGTGTTCTCAGTAATATTTAGATTAATCTATGGCTAGAAGGAAAGGCGATGGTTAACGCCGGCTTTTTAATCGCGTAAATATTTACAATATTGTGTCAATATATTGGTCCTTACCAAATAGAATTAAATTGAAACTACTCGCCCAGCTCCATATATATCTAGTAGCAATGATAATATGAATTTATGGTCAATAAAGGATGTGCATTTAGTATACTCCATTAATTCATCAATTATTTGAGTATTATCCTCTGAAAGTCCATGATAATTTGAAAAAGTATTTATTTGTCTGTGCCAATTAACTGTATTTGTATGTGTAAAGTCCAATTAATTCCTATTGTTTGTTGTAAATTCTATAATTGAGAATTAAAGGCAATACTTTTCCTAATAAATATTCCCTCTTATCAGACAGATTGATACATTTTGTTAATAAATGAAGCTGTTTTTTTACGAGCTTTCTAAAGCGTTTTTTTTTCTGTAATCAATTTTATAGGCATTAACTACTTAATGTCTTTGTAAACATGGCGATAATAGTACTTACATCATAGTGCATCAGCTAAAAGATATGAATTCATTTGGAAGTTGTAAAGATTGATTAAAAACTTGTATCTTGTATAATTTTAATCTATCACAAGAACAAATGAAGTTAATTTGCTAAGACAAATGTTTCCGATCAACAAATACTACATATATACCTTGTGTACGTTTTTTGTTACTAGTGCTTAGTGACAGAAGATTCATTAAAAACAATGTCTGTACATTCTAATTGCTAAGATGTGAAAGAAATGTCCCTTTATCTAAATCCGGTTTACTATTTTTATATATTAATAGAGTATATTTCATTACATCCAGAAGCCTGTCAAATTGTTCATCTGTATTTTTAATCAAACCTCTTTTCACAAGGCTTGATTCATCTTAGAAAGTTGACTTCATAAACCTTGATTAGAAGATAAAACTAAAATGATAGAGAAAACTTTTAATCTATTTCATAGTTAATTACGAAATTTTTAATATAAGATTCTGCTATTTTTTTTTTGAATACAGTGCCTAATGCGTGAGAAGTAACATTAGAAAAAGTTATCAGCTATGGTCTAGTATGTGTTTCAAGTTATTTGGAAAAAAAAGTAGTAAAAAGTAACAGCCTATACATGTCCCACTGCTGGGCAAAGGCCTCCTCTATATAGAGGGCATATATTTGGAAAAAATACAGATAAATTTTCCAGTCCTTTTCAAATAAAAAAATACTTCATAGTAGGAAAACATAAAGTGTTAAATTGTTAGAGAAGTAACACAGCTAAATAAACAAAAAAATTGTAAATGATAACAATTTACAAATGATACTTGGACCACAAGTTGCTTGTATGTATTATTTATATGAACACACACCCTCTGTAACAAAACAACATAGACCATTCAGGTTTAACAGACAGTGTCTAAAGATAATTATCACATTTTCATACAATGTATGAAATATTTGTTATTAATAGTGGCGTATTATTTAATATTTGAACACAAAACTTTTTAGTAGATGATTGTCAGATTGTTCGATTGAAATACATTATTTAATAGATACCAATTTTTTTATAATATTATTTATCTTAAGCTCAAGAATATTGAATACCGATGCCATAGTGATTTATCTTTGCATTGTAAACTTATGGTTGTGTATCATTTCAATATACACAGAGAGTAAAGATGTTAATAATCAATCAAACTATGGCAGAAAGTTAAGTCAAAACAGACAGTAAGTCTAGATTGTGAAAGATAAGAGAAAAAAAAATGATTTATCACGCTAATTAATGGCATATTTCGTCTATGGCAACGGGCAAAGAATATCGGTCGCAAACACATATCACTGCACCATACAGTCGGGATATGTCTCCATCATAATGAGAAAATGTTATGACAGGACCGATAATAAAAAAAAATTGTCACCATAAAGCCACGGCAGCGGTTGAAGGACTGAGGAGTCTGTGATGTGTTCACTTCGAGGTCATGTCGGGCCAGTAGTTGATGTAGTATCGGTGAGTGCTGCCCTCAAAGAGTCGGTCAAGCCAATTCGGAAGCCCATCCAGGAGGTTCTCTGCAAAGGGAATGTATGTAAACTAATAAGAGACTGTTAGCAGTTATGACTCCTCCGATATTGCAAGTCTCCTGGGCAGCGGTGATTGCTTACCATCTGATGATGTGCTTGGTCATTTGCCTCCTTTTTCCATAAAAAAAAGAAACTAGTTAAACTACTTTAAGCTAGCTGGACAGCCAGAAAGAGTGCTAGCGATAGACAGTAATTGTTTCGGATTTGGACAAACACCCAGATCTGAAACAATTATCTGTGGGTCACACAAATACTTGTCCCATGTGGGAATCGAACCTACGACCCCCAACGCCGAAGCTAATACCTTGACAGCTGCGTCACGGAGTCATCAAAGAGATTCACTATCAAATACGCCAATCGGGGTATCAATCAAGAAAACACACAGTGCGCAAATTAGCTACGTAGAATACACAAAATGAACATATTGTTATCATACAATAACATTGTGAAGTAAGTAAGTAACTAACTAGTCAAGCAAACCAAGTCAATTGTAGGGCCAAGCCCCAATTCACTTTTGCACGAAAGAGCAGGTAAGTCCGGGGAAGTACCACAACCTCACAGAAAACCGGTGTAAAGTAGAAGTGTTACACTTCGTTTCGTCTGATGAGTGAGGTAGCCGGGGCCCACTTTATTATCAGGTGGTAATGCATCTGCAAACCTACGTGTGTTGCAAATGTCCACGGGCGATGGTTATTACCTAACATCAGGTGAACTGCCGGCTCATTTGCAATCTTCACTACATAGTATAAAACAAAGTATGCATGCTTAGATCTTTAAAACAACACAACGGATTTTGATGCAGTTTTTTTTACCAGATAGTGATTCAAGAGGACAGTTTATATGTATAATACATTGCACCCGTGCGAAGCCGGGAGGGGTCGCTAGTCTTACATAAAAAAAGTAAATTTTAGTCCGACCTTGAAGTAGCACCGGCGGGTCCGGCGCCTCGTCCGAGGAGGAGTCGGGCTCCGTCTGGAAGCCGATGAAGGCGCCGGCCTCAGGGTCGCCCGCCCAGCCGCCCAGCGAACGCGTCATGCGGCTCATTCGCTGGTGGACAACAGGTTCACGCTAGCCATGGTGCTTTCAAAAGAACATACGAGTAAAAAATGGGTTTTTTACTTTAGGATAACATTATCCTGTGTTGTAAGGAAGTTCACCCAGATGCGAAACAACTATCTGTGGGTCGCACAAGTAGTTGTCCCGTGTGGGAATCGAACCCACGACCCCCGACACCGAAGTCATCGAATTTTATACCGGTTCAAGTTAATTTATGTTCTTATTGTGATGATAAAAGGGCCTTTTTCGCGGGGAAAGGTCAAGTACAACTATTCAGCTACATAGTATATAACAAAGTCGTCCCGCTGTCCGTCTAACCCTATGTATGCTTAGATCTTTAAAAGTACGCAATGGATCTTGAGGTTTTTTTTACTAGATACGAGTGATTCAAAATGAAGGTTTATATGCACAATACATACGTGTGAAGCCGGGGCGAGTCACTATTAAGCAGGGGATGGGTCATGGTGTTCGCACTTTGTATTACCTTAAGACAGACGGAAGATCGAGCAGATCTATGGTGTTCTACCTTGTGAGGCTTAGTGCACTCCGGATGCTTCGCGTGGTAGATGCAGAAGTACTTTCGATGCGGGTTCAGTGCCAGCACGGTGCCGACGCAGTTGCGCGCGTTCACCCTCAGCTCGCCCCCGCCCAGCGACAGCTGCAGCACCCGCCTGAACCACTCGACGTTCCGCTCCACGCACAGGTAGGCGAACACCAGCGTCTTGTTCCTGCCGGGTGATTTATTTTATTACTCTGTGGCTGTGCTTCACTATGACTAGCCACAGAGTAATAACACAATTCGAATTGTGTTATTACTCTGTGGCTGTGCATACGCACGGTGCTTCACCATGATGTCTAGCCACAGAGTAATAACACAATTCGAATTGTGTTAGTACTCTGTGGCTGTGCATATGTATGGTGTGTGAAGGATACACACCATATTTTGGTATTACTCTATGGCCGTTACGTTAAGGCCTCACCACATACTGTGATGAATAAAGCGCACTATACTTTTCTCTTGTCCGTAGCAAAATGTACTACTAAACGCTACAATATTTCTTAATAGGAAGTTTATGAACGGTTGTTTGTGTTTAAATTTACGAAGTTTATGAGAGATTGTATATGTTTAAAGTCCATTTCTGAAGTTTGAAATAATATTCAGTATGTTGATATGATAAGTGTATAACAAACGCACATGATTTTGAAATCTCAACCCTAAACGCGAATAATACTCACGTAGGGTAGAATAAGACTATTATACCGGTATTTTATATTGTAAACTGATATTTTTGAAAAAGAGCAACTGTTGAGTTTCTTGCCGGTCTCTTCTCAACATAAACTGCTTTCCGAACCGGTGGTACCTCACGAACCTATATGTATAAGTTTTATGTAAAATTTGACGATTCATAAGAACGCGCAAGCGTCTATTTGAATAAAGATTTTTGATTGATTGAATAAAATTTCAGTTTTGAGCACCACGCGGGCAAGGTCACAGGCATAAGTAGTATATAATATGCTGTATACTAATGCTGCATAAATTCAGTGGGGTGGTAGAGTATCAATAGCTTATAAGGAAATCAAGGAAGTGAATTAGACTCACTTGCGATAGGGCCACACAATCTTGTGGAACTTCGAAAGCAGCTGTACCTTGCTCTGCATGTCCACCAGCACAACAATAGTCCGGCATCCAGGTTTCATTAGTCTGTGGCGAGATGATTTGCACTATTAATATTAACTTGTTTCCTTTAGCCTGTCCGAGTCCACTGCTGAACATAGACCTGGCACATAAAACTGCCACGAAGCACGATCCACTAATGAGGCACTAGCGCAGGCTATACAAAAGACAGTCAAAAAAAAAATCCAATTCAATTAAATTATTTACATAAAATGAATTTTTATGACGAGGCAAATCATATATCTTATTCTTTAACAAAACTGATGTAGTCATTAAAACAAAATAAGGAGAGTAAGGGTTTTCAACATTAGCCAGGGCTGTCTGCCTTCAAAGGATTCTCTAATCCACCATGAAATAGTTGTGTAAAGTAACATTACAGATATTCTTAATTTGCGTCTTTGTTCATGTGATTATATTCTGTGGTTAAATGCGGTTATGGTTACCTTTTTCGACAGTTAGAGCATATCCTACCGGTCGAAAAAGGTAACCAAAAGAGTCACGAGCGATAGGAACAGTAGAGTAGAAGAGCCATGCTTACTTTGGTAGCTCCTATTCGGGAAGGTATTTTTAACCCAAAACATGCTTAGTTGCTTATGGCTAGTACAGAGGGGCACCCATACATTAGTAGTATACTCTGAAGCCTCTCCAATCTATGTTTTGTCTACCAGGGGTTTTAGTGAACAGGAAGGAACCCCAGCATTGTCATCCCAATACAAAATATATGTTCGTGGTGATTGGTAATCAGTTAAAGGCAATGAAATTGCAACCCTATGGGCGTTATCGTTTTTCTTGGATGACGGTAATCATTTAAGCATTAGGAAGCGGAAGCGTCGTACTTCCGCGTTTCGTCTGTTGAGTGAGGTAGCCGGGGCCCAACTTATTATAGGTGGCAACGCATATGCAACCCAATGTTGTCAATGTCCATGGGCGGTTATCACTTAATATCAGGTGAAACGCCAGCTCGCTTGCCACCTTCTCTATAAATAAAAGGTAAAATTTATCCACAGCAGTATTGAATATTTTATGAGGGAACCTAAAACCAATCACCTGACGAGCCCGTTGTACTTCTCCGCCCTGAGCTCGTGCAGTCTCAACTCTTGCTGGGGCTCATTGTTGTTCCTGTTCGCGCTGCCGTTCTGGCGCCGCCTCTCCGCTTTCTGCTTCTGCACGGACTCCTCTTCGATGCGACTGCAGTTGAAACAAATATCAAGAAGAATAACAGTGGGAAGAGAAAACACTCAGGAATCCAGGCAGTAGACGGTGGCAGGTGAAATAAAAAATTACAGGAGTTCATCACAGACAAACAACGTGACACGATGATAATTTGATAATTATATATATACAGAGTCTCACATAAATACGAAGGATGAAGTTGGTGATTAACAATCGGCAATATTGGCATGGTGCAGCATTTTCTTAACCTTCGTTGTGTTGCGTTTCTAAAGAACTGAGGCTAGGAGTTCCAGAACAATATAATAATATATGTTGTTGTTCCTGAGGGTGCACAGTAATGTGGTGGTAAACAATGGGTGGTATGAAAGTTGGGGCTGACAATTTGTTTATTTTTTTCATGCTTTCAGTCTATAGACTCTCGCTATCAAGCTTGTTACATATAAGTTTTCTTCTAGGTGCTAAATTGAGATCTTCACCCTTGACAACCTGCTCTAAGTTGTAGAGCGTAAGCGTGTTTGGTGGTAGGATTTGTATGATGTCGTTAGTGGGCTTAAATGTGGTAGGGCCACGCAACAGTTTCCATTGTTGACCGAATGGGCAGGTCCCTCCGGGTAAGCACCACAACCTCACAGAAGAACGGCTTAAGGTAGAAGTGTTACACTTCTGCGTTTCGTCTTGTGAGTGAGGTAGCCGGGGCCCACTTTTATTTAAAGGTGGCAACGCACTTGCATGCCTACAGGTGTTGCAAATGTTTATGGGCGGCGGTTTTTACTTAACAACAGGTGAACCGCTAGCTACTTGGCGTTTCTTCCGTAGTAAGCCAGCAATATCCTCCTTGATGTGAATTATTTATTATAAAAACACGCCGTCACTCGATTACCATTAACTGTGGCGGGGCCACGCAGCAGCTTCTAGTGTTGCACGAATCTGGGGAAGTACCACGACCTCACGGAAGACCAGCGTGGAGTGGAAGTGTTGTACTTCTGCGTTTCGTCTGGTGAGTGTGGTAGCTCGAGCCTACTCTATTAACAGGTGGCAACGCATCTGCAGCACTTCGGATGTTGCAAATGTCAATGTTTGGCGATTATCGCTTAGCATCAGGGGAACCCCTAGTTTGTTTACCACCTTCGCATATAAATTAAAATATACTCTTTATTGATTATGACGACCCAATTGTCAGAGTTGATAGTGAGCCCTGTCCCTTGCGCCAGGGTATGTGGGTTCGATTTCCACTACTGGAAAAATATGTAAAAATATAAGTGTCTGGGTGTTTATATATCTACCATATGTATTTATTGATAAAAAAAGTATGCTTTCTAGTAATCTAGTACCCATAGTACCTAGCTTTAGTTTGAGGCCAGAGAGTGTTGTGTAAAAAAATGTTCGAAAAATATTATATTATTATTTTTCAAAAGATCCACTTATATCGAAAATAATCTATCAGATCATATGATGTGAGATGTATGAACCTCTCATCATCTTATGCTGTCGGAAAGAAGTAACATCTGGTCTGGTGAATATAATCCACATGTACGTTTAAGTATATTTACCGGTAATCTAGTACCCATAGTACAAGCTTTGCTAGTTTGGGACTAGATGGCGTTGTGTAAACATTTCCCCACAACATTTATCAATTGCTAGGATAGACTCACATGAGGTAGGCCATTAGGTATCCGACCGCCAGGACCAGGGCGACTGTGCCCAGAACGGATATGGCGGAGAGGGCGTGCTGGGTCCGCAGGGCGAGCGCCGCCCTCTCCGCCCACTCGCAAATCTTCACCACCGCCCGCCAAGCGGCGCCGCGCGCAGCCTCGTCGAGGAGCTCCTGAAAAACGTGCGTTTTTTTTTTTTTTTTAAATGTGACAACGACAACGACATAATATCCTCAAGCCCCGCCGAGCGCAGCCGAAGCGGAATGAGATAACATGTTACAAACATCACGCGTAAGGATTTCTTTCATCGTACGATTAACATCTTGAAGAGGACTGAAAACTTACAGCAGAAAGGTAGGTTTTGGATGCAAAATCATTATTGAATCGATTTGGCATTAAATTTACCAATAAACAGTCAATGGGACAAAGAATTTAGGCATGGGGTAATCCACGTTATATCTGAAAGGATTTCATGGGTGCAAGAACATGGGTGCTGAAACATATCATGAGTAGATTAGATGTCTCTCTATGCCACTTAAGCACTAGACTTTAAGTTAGACTACCCGAATGGCGTAGTTGACATTGACCCTGTCTCTTGCAACAGAGTGTATCGATTCCCAATACTGGAAAAATATTGTGTGATGACCATTGTGTTTTTCCAGTGTCTGGTTGTTCATATATGCATAATATGTATTTATTTACAGTAAAAGGATATTCAAGTATGTTTACCAGTTATCCCATAGTACAAGTGTTGCTTAGTTTGGGATTAGAGAGTGCTGTGTAAAAACGTGTCCTGAAACATTTATTTATTAAGACTGTTGCATCACCGGTGGTGATAGAAGATATATTATATATTTATATATTTATTTTTTTTCTTTCTTCCTGTATATATATTTGTAAGTTATTGTATAGTATATGTTTAGATTTATGTATGTCTATTGTATCTTATTTGGTATATATTAGTATATTAATATTATACAAAAATACAACATATTCGTTTATTTTATTTACATGTTAGTATGTAAGTTTATCATTTACACCACCTACCGCTGTCCAAACTAAAATATTTTTCACCACAAGGTGGTCTGGAAGAGATCGCTTCTTAGCGATAAGACCGCCTTATTGTTTATACCTCTTGAGTTTATAGTTCTGTAACATTTCCTTTTATCTTTTTTTGGTGTTCAATAAAGTATATATAATAAGATCGACCATGATCACCTGCACGTGCGCCTCGTACGCCATCACCTCGGTGGGCTTGAGCAGCCGCTTGATGAGGCGCTCCAGGGCGCGCTTGGTCTCGTTCAGCCGCTGCTGGTACCGGGCCGTCTCCTCGTCGTACTCCAGGTCGCACCTGGCGCACGTGGGCCAGGTCTCGTTCAGCCACTCGTACTGGACGCGCGTCGGCTCCCGCCGCCATATCACCGCGATGCGGTGGTCCATCTCCGACACGTCGGTGCCTGGGCGGATGGAGAACGCAATGTACATAGGTGACATCTATTGATGTTATGTTATACAGCGTTGTATTCTTTACATATAGAGGATAATATACTTTTTAAAATTGTATTAAACATTTACATTCTTTAAACATAAATATTTACCGAGTTAGTAAATTTTCCAAAACAAACAATTTTAGAACAACGAAACGTAAAGTTAAATGTTGAAGGAATTTAAAAGGGATAAAACATACTGTTAGAAGGTGAGATTTGTAATGCGACACTGTGGCAACGAATGAAAAAGTCTCTGAATGTATGAATCAGTCTGTTGTAGTTCTATAGGATGTAACAATATTTGTTTCTTTTTTATTTAATTACGTTTATATTTTTTATGATTAGCGTTAGTAGCGTTAGACGTGTGTTGATTCGTGTGTTGATTTATTGTCGCGGTTGTAACGACACGCTTTATAGGCAACATCTATTGATGTTATATATATCAGAATGATCTATTCAAACAGTTTAACAATACATTTGGCAACTCAAATAACATTTGAAAAACCATTTGACAGCTGATTAGTTGACTTCTATGATCAGTACTTCAGAATCCGGGCGCAAGTGAAGAGATTAGGGATTACATTTTCTCAACCAAAGGGGAACGAAAAGGTTGAAAGGAGGCAACACATCTGCAACCCTATGGGTGTTGCAAATGTCAATGGGCGGTGGTTATCACTTAACATAAGGTGAACTTTTCGCTTGCTATCTTCTCAATTTGCATGCTGAGGTCATACAATACAACCACATTCTGGCAATAAAGACATTCATTCATTCATTCACATAAAAAAGATCCATCACCCACCGGAGACGTTGGCAAACATTCTATTCATTCATTCATTTACAAAAAGATCCATCACCCACCGGAGCCGTTGGCAAACATTCTCTCATTCATTCATTCATTCACAAAAGGATCCATCACCCACCGGAGCCGTTGGCAAACATTCTCTCATTCATTCACAAAAAGATCCATCACCCACCGGAGCCGTTGGCAAACATTAATCTTAAAAATACAGAGGATTTATGGGGTATGTCCATAAAATTAATGAGCATAATAATGCCATATATTGCACCACATTTGGCTTCTATTTTTAACAACTGCATAGATTCTGGAATATTTCCAGATCTTATGAAATTTAGTAAGATAATACCTGTCTACAAAAGTGGTGATAAAAATGATCCAGGCAACTATAGACCTATTTCCATATTGCCATCTCTTAGTAAAGTTTTTGAAAAGCTAATATTAAATCAACTTTTAGTTCATTTTAATGTGAACAAAATCTTTCACGATGAGCAATATGGATTCACTAAAGGCAGATCTACAACAGATGCGGGCGTCGCACTTGTCAAACATATTTATAACGCCTGGGAAAGGTCACAAGATGCAATAGGTGTCTTTTGTGACCGTTCAAAAGCCTTCGACTGCGTAGACCATAAAACTCTCCTTCAAAAGCTAGAATATTATGGCATTCGTGGCATCGCCCTCAATCTCATTGCCTCTTACCTTAGTAATAGAATTCAAAAAGTATCTATAAATGATGTTAATTCCGCTGGGTCCCAGATGAAAATGGGAGTCCCACAAGGATCAATCTTGGGCCCATTATTATTTTTAGTATAAATTATTGATCTCCCCTTTTATGCCAGTGGGTTGTGTGATGTTGTACTGTTTGCTGACGATACATCGCTTATTTTTAAAGTTGACCGAAACGTATTAAATTATGACGACGTGAATAGTGCACTTTCACATATCCTCCACTGGTTTACTATTAATAATATGGTATTAAATGCCAAAAAAACCAGATGTATTCTTTTTACCCTTCCCAGTATAAGAAGGAAAAGTTTTAGTTTAATATTAAATAACGTACCCATTAATCCAGTTGAGTCTGCATATTTCTGGGAATTACAGTAGATTCAAAGCTCCAGTGGAGTCCCCATATATCATCTCTTGCGAATAGGCTGAGCTCCGCGGTTTTTGCGATTAGAAGGGTTAGGCAGCTAACAGACATCAACACTGCCAGACTTGTTTACTTTAGTTATTTTCACAGCATCTTGTCGTACTACATTTTGTTGTGGGGTAGTGCATCAGATATAAATTCTATATTTATTCTTCAAAAAAGAGCTGTCCGAGCAATCTACAATATCGGAGCCCGGAATTCACTCAGAGATCTTTTCAAAGAGGTTAATATACTCACTGTTGCTTGTCAATACATTTATTGTAATGTTTTGTATATACGTCATAACCTTAATTATTACCTAAAGAATAGTGACAGACATAAAATAAACACTAGAAATAAGGACAAACTTACTACGCCATTGTTTCGTCTACAAAAAGTAAATAAGTCGTTCATGGGGCAAAGTGTGCGCATGTATAATAAAATCCCACAGTCGATATTAAGTCTGCCGCTTGACCAATTTAAATGTAAAATTAAAAATCAACTGATGATTAAAGCATATTATACCATTTCGGAATATCTCGACGACGTCAATGTGTGGAGTTAATACGTGCTGTTGATACTCACGTAGGCTAGAATAAGACTATTATACCTGTATATTATATTGTACCCTGATATTTTTGAAAAAGAGCAACTGTTGAGTTTCTTGCCGGTCTCTTTTCAACAGAAACCGCTTTCCGAACCGGTGGTACCTTACGAGCCTATACATAATAATATACATAATCTTTGATGTAAAATTTGACGATTCATAAGAGCGCGCAAGCGTCTATTTGAATAAATATATTTTTGATTTTGATTTTGATTCTCTCATTCATTCATTCATTCACAAAAGGATCCATCACCCACCGGAGCCGTTGGCAAACATTCTCTCATTCATTCACAAAAGGATCCATCGCCCACCGGAGCCGTTGGCAAACATTCTCTCATTCATTCATTCATTCACAAAAGGATCCATCGCCCACCGGAGCCGTTGGCAAACATTCTCTCATTCATTCATTCATTCACAAAAGGATCCATCGCCCACCGGAGCCGTTGGCAAACATTCTCTCATTCATTCATTCATTCACAAAAGGATCCATCGCCCACCGGAGCCGTTGGCAAACATTCTCTCATTTATTCATTCATTCACAAAAGGATCCATCGCCCACCGGAGCCGTTGGCAAACATTCTCTCATTTATTCATTCATTGGCCCAAGCGTTGGCAAACATTCTCTCATTCATTCATTCATTCACAAAAGGATCCATCGCCCACCGGAGCCGTTGGCAAGCGCGCGCACGAAGTCCGGCTGCGCGTGCGCGTAGACGTACGCGTAGCGCAGCCGGTCGGGGGCGTTACGCGCCAGCTCGCGTAGCTCTCGTAGCGCCGCGTCGCGAGCGCCGAACGCTACGCAGCAGAGGCGACGCCTCGCCGCCCGCCACTCCACTGGGCAGGCGGCCTCCAGGACGCTCTATGAAACAGTGAAGCATCGCTTTATATGCTAACCATTGCTGTGCATAATTGGCGTATATCGAAATTAATGCACCTTTAATTATCATTTGCTTTTTATAGACCATGTGTGAGACGAGTCTAAGATAAATAATTTTAACACAAGGAAGTCTCCGTAGATGCTCTCAGGCTCGGGGCAATGGAGCATGAATGCATTTTGCAGGAGATATTTGACAGCCCTTCAATGCGGTTTAAGTAGTGTAGCATACCACATTGTCCAGTCCTCTTTCAGTCTTATAACAATCAGTCTTCCAAAATGAATAATGTCTAACACTTAGCAATCCCATATGAGCTTTTGTACGTCCCTTGAAATCCGGGATACGACAAACCCTGTCTTTTGCGCCAGTGTGTGCGTTCGATCATCGTTACTGGACAACTTATTTACAAGACAAAAGTATGTATAAGTATGTTTATCGGTTACCTACCCATAGCAGCCTTGCTCAGTTTGGGACTAGATAACGTTGTGTAAAAATATGTCCCAAAATATTTATTTATTTATCATCTCAGCAAGTGAAGGCAAGCGCACCTGCGAGGATAGCCTGGGTAGCGTCAGCAGACGGTTGGCGTCGATGAGCTGCCTGAGCGTCTGCGTCGGTATCTCTGAGGTGCTGACGGTGGCGGCGGGACGCTCGCTGTCCTCTTTAAGCAGCACCATGCTGTCGGCGTTGCGCTGCGCCTTGAAGCGTGACGTCACGTTGCGCGCGTCCCGTGACGTCATGTCCACGAAGCTGCAACAGCGGTGTGGTAAAGTAAAAAGTAACGTAGCATCCTACATAAAGCAAGTCCACAAAGCCGCATTTATTTATTTATTCATACCATCAAATATCTATTCACTTCTTTACCGCTCAGCATGGAATAAGTTGACTGTTAAAATTGCAATTACCAATTTGAACTTTTACTATTACTTTACTTTACTATTTGGGATTTGAACTCGGTTTTTTGGAGTTTATTGGTCACTCGGTTTATTGAATTAGAAGCGAGCACCCGGACACTGAGCTATCATGGCTTCTTTAAATTTTATATAAGACTATCTATTGCGTACCTAAGACTGTGTTTTCTATTATCTATTTCCGCTGAATGCTCCATAAGCCTTTGCCATAACAGACATAAATATCCAATTAATATACTAAATTTACATTTAACATTATTAAAAATAGCTAGATTGTAAAAAGTTTTTACTGGTCTTTACAAAGAAATGATTGAGTATTAAAGCTTATTAGGAAAGCTATTTGGCAGGTCACCGTTTCAATTGATATTGGGAAAATTTTATTTCTTGGATGAACAGCCCATCAAAACCTAAATAGGATATTTAAACATAACTAATTTTTTAAATCTAATATACAGCGTGTCGTTACCATCGCGACAATAAATGAACACACGTCTAACGCTACTTGCCAATAATCATAAAAAAATGTTAACGTTAAACAAAATCCATAATTAAAAAATATTTTTTTTACAAACAAACTAATTAAGTAAAAAAGAAACAAAATTTGTAACATCCTATACAACTCGCGCCACAGCGTCGTGTTACAAGCCTCTCCTTCTAACAGTATGATTTGTCTCTTTTAAATTCATTCAACCCATTCATTTGCTTTGTGACCTTTACAAATTAACTTTACGTTACGCTTTTATAGGTAAGGGTGTTCTAAAATTCTTTGTTTTGGAAAATTTAATAACTCTGTAAATATTGATGATTAAACAATTTAAATGTTTAATACAACTTTAAAAATTTATCCCCTATATGTGTGTTCATTTATTGTGGCGATGGTAACGACACGCTGTATAAAATTCTCGTGTCACGGGGTTCGAACTTGAACTCCTCCGAAACGGCTCGACCGATTTTTACCAAATTTTATATGCGTATTCAGTAGGTCTGAGAATCGGCTACTATCTATTTTTCGTCCCCCTAAATGTTAAGGGGGTAGTCCACCCCTAAATTTTTTTTTTTTTTTTATATAAAACTTTTTGTTTCTATTTTTTTATGACACAGCATACAAAAATACATACAATCCTAAATTTTCACCCCTCTACGCAGACGTAGCCGCGGGCAGCAGCTAGTCTAATATACAAAATTCTCGTGTCACGGGGTTCGAACTTGAACTCCTCCGAAATGGCTCGACCGATTTTTGTGATCCTTAGCGTGATTGTCGGCCAGGGTGGAGAATCGGTAAACATCTATTTTTCATCCCCCTAAATGTTAAGGGTAGTCCACCCTTAATATTTTTTTTTTAATTTTTTAGGCAAAATTTTTTGTTTTTATTTTTTTATGACACAGCATACAAAAATACATACAACCCTAAATTTTCACCCCTCTACGCAGACGTAGTCGCGGGCAGCAGCTAGTTTAACTATAAAAGCTATCCACATTCCACCAAAATTATAGCAGGGACCTAAGACAGAGTTCAGCTAGACTAGGAACAACTATGCATGGAGCATTAACCTAGGATTTCATAGGGTGAGTGAGGTAACTTTAGCCAATCTTTCAATGATTATCCACGAATTTGCAATCCGGTGAATCGATGTAGGCGATTCACCACTTGCAACATTTCATCAAAAAATCACTCAAAGCAATTGGCAAGGTAGGCTTCTTCTATTCATTTACCTTTTAAAAACTTTTTGGCTGAACATCCCACAGAATAGGCCAAATGTAATATCGCATCTTTAGAATTATAGTGACTTATTTAAAAATATCAATTTTTGGGAAACGTAAATTAAGGATTTGTGGAACTTATGAACAAACGTGCTAATTGGGGGGAAGTGAAAGAGACAGAAGTATACGTTATGTTGCTTTCTAAAATCGGCCCATGTTTTAATAGGATTCGGAAAAGATGGTCGCTTTAGATCGTTTCCTGATATAAAGCCAAAATCATAATTTTGATAATTAGGTCCGTTTAATTCTAAAGGTGCGATATATAAAGAAAAAGCACTCACGCGAAGGATACCCTCTCGCGGTAGTGGAACGCGGTGACGAGGTACCGCAGCCTGATGACGGGGCGCTCCTCGAAGATCAGCGCCTTCACGCGATTGTCCTCGAAGTCGCTCACGAACGAGTCCACGTTGTTGTCGTTCAGGTTCGCCACCAGCTTGTAGTGGAACTTCCAGCGGATGAATTCTGTCGGATAAATAGTATAGTGTAGGCAGTTCTGGTTTGCAGACTTACATTTGAAATATTTCTAGAACGAAAACCATCGAGAGGGATATTAAAGCTTTTTCCTCACTATTAGCACACACTGTGTAGGGGTGTGCTTATATATAGCAGGGAAATAAAATAGCATGATAAAACAATATTTCACATGTACAGACTTAATATATAATATAAAGCCTGATTCTACATGAAGCAAACAGTGAACTTGGGCATGTTAAAATTCTACAAACCCTGCCTCTTTACTACAGAAAGTAATTTAAATTTTATATGGCATATTCCATTTCATTTTTAAAAAGTAATTTATAGCCACAGGATATTCTGATATTTTCCTTTCATCAGACTAATTTCAAGCACTCAAGCACTATATGGATAATGATACCTTAGGAAATTTAAAGAAGAGAGTCCATTCTTGTATTCACATAAATTCTGGTATTTGTCAATATTCACGGCCGTAGGTGAACAATTTATAGCAACCCAGCCCCTCTCTCTATTGCCAGTTGCAACGCTAAAATGAAAAAAGTTCACCCACCCAGAATCTTCGGCATCGAGTTCAGGCCCTCCTTGTATATGTAGACCTGCTTGTCGATGACCAGGGTAAGGCAGGGCACCCCGTGGACGCCCACCCTCCTCGCTAAGGCAGCCTCGTGGCCCGCGTGGACCGTCGCCAGGGTGATCCCCAACGGCTGCAGGGCCTCCACCAGCCTCCGCCACGCGGCAGCGGACCGTACGCAGTCGAAGCACCAGTCCGTGTAGAACAGCACCAGGGCGGGCGTGTGGACGCTCTTCTCCATTATGTGGTTCTCGAAGTGTCTGGAAGGTTCGATTGGGAATGTTTTTTTTTTTTTTTTTTTGTAAAAAAGAAGGTGGCAACCGAGCTGGCGGTTCACCCGATGTTGTTAATAATAATAAAATAATAAAATATCTTTATTCACATAGACGCTTGCGCGTTCTTATGAAACGTCAAAATTTTACAAAAATTAACACGTTCGTAAGTTACCACCGGTTCGGAAAGCAGTTTCTGTTGAGAAGAAACCGGCAAGAAACTCAACAGTTGCTCTTTTTAAAAAAAATCAGTTTACAATATAATAGTACATGTACAATAGTCTTGTTTTAGCCTACGTGAGTATCAACAGTATTAACCCCACACATTGGCGTCGTCAAGATATTCCGCAATAGAATAATAGGCTTTAGCCATAAGTTTACTTTTAATTTTTCGTTTAAATTCATCAAGTGGCAGACTTAATATCGACTGTGGGATTTTATTATACATGCGCACAGCTTGCCCCATAAACGACCTGTTTACTTTTTGTAAACGAAACAATGGCGTAGTTAATTTGTCCTTATTTCTAGTATTTAGTTCATGTCTGTCACTATTCTTTAGACTATTAATATTATTTTTAACATACAAAATATTACAATAAATATATTGAGACGCAACAGTGAGTATATTAATCTCTTTAAAAAGGTCTCTGAGTGTATTCCGGGTACCGATGTTATAGATTGGTCGGACAGCTCTTTTTTGAAGAATAAATATAGAATTTTTATCAGATGCACTACCCCACAACAAAATGCCGTAAGACAAGATGCTGTGGAAATAACTGAAATAAACAAGTCTGGCAGTGTCGATGTCTGATAGCTGCCTAACCTTCCTAATTGCAAAAACAGCGGAGCTTAACCTGTTCGCAAGAGATGATAGATGGGGACTCCATTGGAGCTTTGAATCCACTGTAATTCCCAAGAATACAGCGGACAACAGGATTAAGGGTTACGCTATTTAATGTTAAGCTAAAACTTCGCCTTCATACGCTGGGAAGGGTAAAAAGAAGGCATTTAGTTTTTTTAGCATTTAACACCATATTATTAACGGTAAACCAGTGGAGGATACGCGAAAGTGCACTATTCACGTCGTCATAATCCGACACGTTTCGGTCAACCTTAAAAATGAGCGATGTGTCGTCAGCAAACAGTACAACATCACATAACTCACTGGCATAAAAGGGGAGATCATTTATATACACTAAGAATAATAATGGACCCAAGATTGATCCTTGTGGGACACCCATTTTCATGGGGGACCCTGTGGAATTTACATCATTTATAGATACTTTTTGAATTCTATTATTAAGGTAAGAGACAATGAGATTGAGGGCGATGTCACGAATGCCATAATAATCTAACTTTTGAAGGAGGGTTTCGTGGTCTACACAGTCGAAAGCCTTTGAAAGGTCGCAAAAGACACCTATTGCATCTTGTGACCTTTCCCAGGCGTTATAAATATACTTGACAAGTGCGACACCCGCATCCGTTGTCGATCTGCCTTTAGTGAATCCATATTGCTCATTGTGGAAAATTTTGTTCATATTAAAATGTACTAAGAGTTGATTTAAAATTAGTTTTTCAAAAATTTTACTCATATCCCCACTTTTGAAAACGGGGATTATCTTACTGAATTTCATAAGATCTGGAAATATTCCAGAATCTATACATTTGTTAAAAATATTTGCCAAATATGGTGCAATATACGGCATTATTGTACTCATTAATTTTATGGACATGCCCCACAAATCTCCTGTATTTTTAAGATTAATAGAATTCAAAACTTTTATAATATAGTTGAGTGAAGACCGCCGCCCATTGGCATTAGCAACACCCGTGGGGTTGCTGATGCGTTGACATATTTTAATAAAGTGGGCCCAGCTACCTCACTCACCAGACGAAATGCAGAAGTATAACACTTCCACTTCACGCCGGCCTTCTGTGAGGTCGTGGTACTCACCCGGACGGATCCTTCCATTCGTACAACAGAGAAAACTGTTACGTGGCATACCAGTAACGCGATAAAACCTGTGAAGGCGCGAATGCAAACAAACTCTTGGCCCTTCGATGGGGTTGGCACAATCACGGTGAAAAGGAAAAGGAATAAAGCCTTAGGGCTTCAAGCTTATCGAAGAAAAACAGGACATTCTTTGGATGTATTTTTGATGGACCTGGAGACTGGGGAAAATCCACGCTATATTGGAGCGGTGCGCGGAAAAAACATCCTGATAATTTTTCGGATGAAAAAAATTTTACACTGTAAGAGAGCTACAATAAAAAAAGGGGTGCACGCCCACAACAGTGAAGAAGCGAGCTGCTGCCGCACTTCGCGTGTCCAGCGAAGCCATCCTCCATCGTAACTCATATTTTGGCTTAACTCTGGTATATTTTTGTGGGAAACGCGTAAAAACGAACGCAATTATTTATCAAGATAAACCTTATGGAATGTCTTTCTCATAACATGTGGAATAATAGACTTTAGGCATTGTAGTGAGATTATTCGAAGTTGCGATGGTTAATTTGAATAAGTTTAATAAGCATAAGAATCTATGTTTACAGCTCAGTGTCCTGGCACTGGCTTTTAATTCAATATACTCAAATCCACCAATGTAATTGTTAATAAATTTTGAAGATATGTGAAGTCTCCAATATGCAGTGGGTTGGCGTGGTGGACTATGCCCTAATACCTAGATGCCTTTGCCTTGTCCAAAATGAGATGAGATATACAACAAGATATATTTACAACACGCTTCTAGAATGTGTCTTTACTGTGCCCACTATAATTAAAAAAAGAACGGTGTAAAACAATATCTGCAAATGGTTTTCCACATGCATGTATGTATATTACACAAATTTAACAATAAACTTGACTCGTGCTGTCAAGCTAAATGAGAACTCGATGAACGATTAAAATACCAAAACCATGACTTACTGATATGTACTTACCGCGCAGTTACGGACAGCTTGTGGAAAAGGGTGATATCTTGGTCTTGCGTTCTGAAGTGGGCGCCAAAGAATTCTTCGAATGGGTCATTGCTAAAACATACGAAAATATATTAACAGTGACTCCTCGCATAGGAATGTCTGATTCACCTAGAAATGACAATATAGTAAGATAAGTATATAGATTTGAGTTACTCAGATGCAATGACAATATAATGCACCCAATATATTACACTAAATCAATTGTCAATGATTGATTTTAGATAATCTATCAATTGAAAGTTGAAACATTTTGGTTGGGTTATGTTTATTTATGGCGCAAAACAACAGTGAAGGTGAAAAAAATTATGTGTGAGGATGATATGTACTAGATAATTGTGTATGACCCATACAAATAACAGTTTCATTAAAATAAAAATATATAATGATGAAAGCATATCAATCTAGACTTTACTGTTACAAATCCATAAATAGGATTTAAAAATATTAATTTAATACTATTAGTTTAGCAGCATGAACTGAGGACACCTTTAGTAAATTCTGAGTAGTCTAGAGAAAAACTGGCAAGACCCTCTTAAGGTAGAACAATTTTTTTTAAAAGAAATGTCATAAAAATGTTACTAATAATTAGCAGCACCCATGCCCTTTATATATGCCAATATATTGGTTGTTGGTCATGACAAAATTATATATTATTTTTAATCATTTAAGGTGAATAATAGTTAAACAGAAATTATTGAAATATTCACTACAATTTTACAGAATGAAGTGTTTTTATAGCCAGGATAGCTCAGTTTTTGGATGCTTGATTTTATCCAGTAGCAACCTGATTTCAAATCTCATAAGAATTAATTAAACAAGAAAGACAAAAGATATATGAATTCCATCATATGTATAGGTGTTTGTGTAGTGGACAATGCCCAAATTCCTTCCATCCAGAGGAAGCAGTATGCAGCACTTATAATGTATCATCACTTTACATTACTTGAGATTGTAACTAGATTGGAAATACAAGCAATGTCAATAATACATGCAATCTCTTCATATTTCTTCTGTTGTAGAATTTTTAATTACTTTGAATAAATTATCCTTACCTAAACCTTGCGTATTGACTGTAATCGTGTCTTGGTTTATACATGTGCTCATCCTCATTGGTGATGCCATAAAGGTCATAAGCCTGCCTTCTCTCAGTATCAGAGAGCAGTTCATATGCCTGCTTTATCTCCACAAAACGTGACTCGGCATTAGGATCCTCATTTTTATCTGGATGCCTTTAACGTAAGTAATATAATTAATTGAATTAATTCATCTTAAAAGTATAGATAATATAAATTATATAAGTTTTTCAACTGTTTAAAATAGTACAGTTTATTTAAATCTACTTGAAAGTCAATAAATGGGCATTTTTAATTAAGTTATTATTTTTAAAGAAATCATTAAGGCAGTAGAATCAACATCTGATGTTTGTTCTGAGTAAACTTTAAATCGTTAAATAATGAATTCATTTTATAATGATGATATCCTGTTATTGTTTGAAATGTGTTTTGTCTGTCTCACAATTAATTAAAGTATTTTCTTGAGTATATTAAAGTACCTTCTTCAATTCTTCTTTGGATAAGACAACAATTATAATAGTGTTAAACTAATAGCCCCAAACCATATTTATATTTAGCTTAAGATAGTTTTCGAACCATAACCATTTTAATTTTCACTTAATTTAATAAATTGTATAATGCTCTAAATAGTTTAAGATTAATAGTTTTAAATGAAAACTTTCCTACTATTAATGTATTTTATACAATTAACTCTACATTTCTATATAAATGAATTCTTTGCTTAAGCCAAACAGTTTTATTTCAGGTACTGATTTTACAGGATATACTATCATTAATTGAGTTAATTTAAATAGGGGAATAAACTCATTTTTAGGTTACCATTATGAACAAAGACGTAAAATTATTTACATACCATAGTTAATGATCTTTGCAATTTGATAACACAACTTATGTAGCATGATCAGTGTTTGTTTAGTTGTCTACAAATATATGATAAAATTTACACTTACCATTCTTTAGCCAGCTGCCTATAAGCTTTTCGGATTTCAGGAAGCGTTGCTCTGCGGTGAACACCTAATATCTTGTAAGGGTTACCGATGTTTTGAGCTAATGCCAGAGTGCACATTAAAACTAGCAGTGCAATGCACACCCATCGTCCGCTCGAACTCTTGTTTTTCCATTGCATATTATTTATTGTCTTCAAATGAGACCTAATACTACAGCCTATGAACTTTTCATAGAATGGCTTTTACAGTTCTATTTTACACTCATAGATAAAATACATAACATTCAGGGGCAAGTAGCAATGAGATATTCAGGGAAACCCTTATCAGTCATTCGTCTTAAAATAGAATGAGATGCCTGAAAATGTGTGAAATCGCGCAAAATTGAGAAAAACTGAAAAATTACTGAAAGAAGACCACAGATTCCATAGACATTTATATCATGACATAGATAGCAGTAAATTAATTTTTCACAATATTCACAAAATAATGGTGCTATATTTTTTGTGAAGTGTGTTATCCTGATGGTTTTGACAGCTTCATTGGAAGTCAGCAGATAGATGACTCGCAGTCTCAGGAAAACAACGAAAATGCTGCACAATAAGATGAAGTCCATTCTGTTGCAACTCCGCGACCCCTGCCGCTGACAGTTGGAAATTAGGCTAACCTGGGGAGGGGGGGGGGATGACACGATTCAAAGGGGTTGGAGGTTCGGACTATGCGTTTTTTCTTAAAAATATTAATTCTTGAAACATTTAATATTCATACATTATCTAAGGAGCGTCCACCTTAAACATGTTGTCGCTGGCAACATTATACACCGGTTATGACGTCATCAATACGAGCGATGAGGCACCTGGTCGCATGGAGCAGCGCTCACGGATCACTTTCATTTCGGCGCTGTTCCTGGACGGTCACATAATTACTAGCGTTGCTATTTAATTGTAATTTGTACATATAGTCCAGAGTTACTTAAAAATACAGATTGAGAGCAAAAACGTTGTTTCACTTATATCAGAAGTGGGATACTTTTGCTACTTATTTTGCACTCGCTATGCCACGCGCTCAGAAAACAAATTCGTTCGAGAGGACGGCGGCGGGCACGCCGCCGTGCACGGGACCCTTCTACGTCATCTACTTCAAGCTCAACTAGCACATCAAGCTCGAACGAAGACTCGAGAAGATCAAGGCGTAAAAAGAGTAAGCGGCTAGAAACTGTAAGTCAAAATACTAAATTATCAAGTGTAATCCCCGAATTCGATCCGATGGTGGACGATATATATATGTGGTTGAATGTAGTGGACGCTAATGCTCGCACTTTTGGGTGGTCAGATAATGTAATCAAGTATCAGGCACTACAAAAATTAAGAAGTACCGCCAAAACATGGTACGATTCTATGTTGAAAATTGAGACTAATTGGATAACCTGGAAATGGACTGACTGGCGTAAAATATTGTTAAAAAACATTCGAGGTTAGCCGCAACATGTACGTTTTATTGAAAGACCTTATTGAATGTAAACCATCGGAAGGTCAATCGTTGTATGAATTTTATTTTAAACAAAAATGTAAAATAGATAGATTAATGCTTTCCTTTTCTGAAAAAGATATAATTTCCATAATCGTAGGTTCAATTGATGATTGAAATATTTGTACGACAGCTGAGGCAGGTAGCTTTAGATATTGCGATGATTTGGCTTCATTTTTACATGGTAAAATGTTTGTGTCTACCGACAATAAATCGAGAAATATGACATCGAAATATTCGCCTCGACATTTGAATACGGGAAAGGCAGATTTAAGCAATAACTCAAATTTACAAAACGTTACATGTTACAGATGTGGTGAAATTGGACGTAGACGCAATAATTGTTCAATGCAAAGTAATATTAAATGTAATTTTTGCCATAAAGAGGGGCATTCTGAAAAAGTTTGTTTCGCAAAACACAAAAGTTCAAAAGAATGTTGAGGTTAAACTTATAAGTACCTGCAATTCAAAAGAAAAATTTTATAAGAATGTTACAATTAATGCCTATAAACATCAGGCTTTCATCGATATGGGGAGTGATTGTTCGTTACTGTTAAGAAGTTTAGTCGATCAGTTTAAATTAAAACTACGGAAATTGGGCAAGCAGCCGATTAAATTAGTAGGATTTAACAATAAGTCTTATTCAGACGTTACGGAATCTGTTACGGTGTTATTACACATTGATAATTTAGAAATTTTAGTTGAATTTTACATTATCGAAGATTTAGCTAATTGTAATATTCTTATTGGTAGAAACTTTACAGAAGACCCACGTATTATGTATACCAGAGTTGGTAATGTTTTAAATTTTCAATTGGCAGAGAATAGAAACTCAATAAATTTAGAATGTCTTGTGGTAAATACAGAAGCAAATATTAATATTAGGTTAGGTAAAATTTTAACAAAATATTCGGAGTGTGTTTCTAATGATTTAACGAATTTAGGCAAAACTTCATGTATTGAGTTAGATATCGAGTTGACCACGAATAAACCAATTGCCAAGCGACCATATAGGATGTCCGAATCAGAACGGGCAATTACTAGAGAGCTAGTGGATGATCTCCTGAAAAATGGTATAATTCGAAACAGTAATTCAGCTAAACAGTAAGTCCCGTTATTTTAGTAGATAAGCCTTCTGGGGAAAAACGATTATGCGTAGATTACCGTGGATTGAATAAAGTCACTATCAAAGAAAAATATCCAATGCCTTTAGTAGAGGATTTAATTGATAGGTTAAAAGGGTGCAATTTTTTTACTAGTCTTGATTTAAAAAGTTAATATTACCAAATAAAAGTAGCTGAACTTTCTATACACAAGACTGCATTCATAACACCTGATGGACATTATGAATTCGTTAGACTCCCGTTAGGTTCGTGTAACGGGCCATCAGTGTTTCAACGTTTAATGAATACTGTATTAGGACAATTGAGATTTAAAAGTGTAATATGCTATATGGATGATATTTTAATTGGAACACCTACTTTAGATGAGAATATTGAGAGTTTAGAACAAGTACTTTCATGCTTAAGGGCTAATGGACTTACCATTAATATAGATAAGTGTCATTTCCTTCAAAAGTCTGTAAATTTCTTGGGGTATAAGATTTCAGTGGAAGGTATACGACCAGGGAGTAAGAAATTGACCGCTATAGAAAAATATCCCATGCCTCAAAATATACATCAAGTAAGACAATTTCTGGGGCTGATTAATTACTTCAGAAAGTTTATAAAAAATTGTGCGCTCATATGTAAGCCATTAACAAATTTATTAAAAAAGAATTCTTATTGGGAATGGGGAGAAAAACAAGTTGAAGCCATTAATTGTCTGAAAAGCGAATTACTAAGCAATGCGGTTCTAGCAATATTTGATCCAAACCTTCCAATATTATTATACACTGATGCTTGTCGCGAAGGATTAGGGTGTGTTTTAGTACAAGTTACGGATAGAGGAGAACGGCCGATTCATTTTTATAGCATACAGACATCATCAGATGAAAAACGTTACCACTCGTTTGAATTAGTTTCTGGCTATAGTAGTGGGTTTACAGAAATTTAGGCATTACTTGATAGGTGTAGAATTTAAGATCATTACAGACTGTAATGCTGTAAGATATTCAATTAATGAGCAGCAATTAAACCCTCGTATAGGTAGATGGGTCTTACAAACACAACAGTTTACTTTTGATATTTTGCATAGAGCTGGATCTTAAATGCAGCACGTAGATGATTTATCGAGAAATCCTGTCGTTAAATCATCCACTATAATTAAGGAAACTGTGATGACAATTACTGAAGGGGATTGGTTTTTGTCTGTACAATTACAAGACCCTCATATTTGTGCAATTAGGGAATTGTTAGTCAGGTGAGGCCGACAATCATAGAAAAATATTTGATGATTACGAATTGTTAGGTAATAAGGTTTACCGTACGACAGAATTTGGCAGGAGATGGCTGGTACCAAAGCAATGTATTTCGCAAATCATAAAAGCTAACCATGATGAAGTTGGCCATTTTGCTGTTGATAAAACTGTAGATAGAATTAGGAATAGATATTGGTTCCCTCATATGAAAAGAGTTGTCATGAAATATGTTAAGAACTGTTTAAATTGTTTGTATTATAAAAATGTACATGGAAGAAAAGCAGGCAAGCTATACCCGATTCCAAAGTATGCTAGACCATTCCACACCTTGCATATTGATCATTTAGGGCCTTTTGTCGAAACTACTTTAAAAAACACATATTTATTGGTAACAGTAGATGCCTTTACTAAATTCTTATTTATTACAGCAGTTAGAAGTACAAAAAGTCTTAATGTCTTAAAGTCTTAATGTTATTAACGAGCTCAATAAAATATATAAGATATTCGGTAATCCTAAAAGATTAATATGTGATGCGGGGAGTGCATTTACGTCAAGGTTGTTTGTAAACTTTTGTAAAGATAGAAATATAAGACATCATGTAATTTCTACTGCTATGCCGAGGGCAAATGGTCAAGTAGAGCGTTATAATCAAACAATACTAGAGGCTTTACGTAGCATGGGGGCTAATACTCATTATAAGAAATGGGATATGCATATTGACCAAATTCAACAGGGGATAAATAGCACTATTAAAAAATCTACGGCAGCTGTGCCTAGCGAGGTATTTTTTGGTTATAATTTACGAATGAATTCAGATAAAATAATCGGTGATAGTGAGGAACAAATTGTTGATTCTTACCTTCTACTTCTATTTACCTTCTTTAAGAAATAAGGTAGATGAAAACATTAAAAAAGTTGCGAACAAGTCAAAAACTATATTTGATTCAAAACGCAAGGATGCCGTCATCTACAATGTAGGGGATTTAGTTCTTACAAAAATTCCTAGTCAAAATAACGACGGCCAGAGCACCAAATTAATGCCATTGTTTAAAGGTCCCTTTCAAGTTACAGAAATATTGGGTCACGAGAGATATAAAGTGACTGACATGAGGGGCAGAGCGTACATCCAGGCGGTACGAAGGTGTGACTTGTGCGGAAAACATGAAACCATGGGTTCGCCTCGGTGAATCGAAGGTATAATTGCTTGGATATGTACGCAAAGAAAAGGTCGGATGTTGTCTGGTTTGTATAACTAATAATACCTTTCTACATAATTTTACCTTTAGAAAATTTGTTACGTAACATATTTGCGAATTGTAAAACATTGGTATTAAGAAGAATAAGAGTACTGTAGACCAAGGTTTGTGTATTAACTAATTGTCTAGTGCAAGTGCTTCAGTTGATATTAGTCTAAAGACTTCAAGGCATGAACTGGTGATGGATATCGATTGTGAACACCATCACTGGTACTAAGACAACGTAGCGATACACGACTGGTCTAACCAGTAAAGCTACAAAGTTTGGTAAATCACTGAAACCTAGGAAGTGGTGATATGCATTCCAGTTGAGAGGGATAAGCCACAGGGTAAGGTGTTCTGAACGTGGCGATATGCATCTCAGTTAAGAGGGATAAGCCACAGGGTAAGGTGTTCTGAACGTGGCGATATGCATCCCAGTTGAGAGGGATAAGCCACAGGGTAACGTGTTAACTGTACGAAGGTGTTAGTAGTCTCTCGAATAATAATATATATTGAAGCTGCACATTTATTGTGTTAAGTGTTAAAGTGCTAGTTTGATACTAAAGTATGGTCAAACTAAGCATAGTACCCATTAACATGATGTATAAAATAACTTTCAGTAAGATCAACGATATTGTTTTCAGCACTTGCACTAGACTATAACGCCGTTCGAGGACGAAGGCGTGATGCAGGACGGCCGGATGTTGTCACTGGCAACATTATACACCGGTGATGACGTCATCAATACGAGCAGCGCTCACGGATCACTTTCATTTCGGCGCTGTTCCTGGACGGACACATAATTACTAGCGTTGCTATTTAATTGTAATTTGTACATATAGTCCAGAGTTACTTAAAAATACAGATTGAGAGCAAAAACGTTGTTTCACTTATAAACATTGTTTGGTTTTAAGCGTCAACACTGATTACTGATTTTTGATTCGCAATTATGGAGTGCAGAGCATAAGGGTTTATAAAAAATATCCTCATTAAGGGTTCAATAAAACCGGAAGGGCATTAAAAGATAATAATAATACGATAATACCATAAGATAAACAAAGTTTTTGGTTATAGATGAAGCAAACAATGCCCATCCCAAGGAAATTAGTCTATCGAATATAAATGAGCCATTTCTTTTGGCATACTTAGATAGCAAACATTATAAAGCTGCTAAAGTTAAAGTTAAAAAGCATTGTACAAATTTTACATTAACCACCTTACTAAGTTACCCCTTAAAAACTTAAATAATTGAGTTTAGGGCAGATTTTCGTGTTTTCATTTAAATGTAGAACTAATGATACTGTAGCGCCATCTTAGTTTATTTTATATTATGAATTTATAATTCTCCCTACTGGCAATTTAATTTACACCTGACAATGACAAATGACAAAATGCAAATTGACAAATGACAAAATGAAATCAAAATCAGATCACTCTCACTCAGTTTGAAAGTGAATTTTGTTACTATTGGTTGTTATTATAACTTAAAGCTTCTGAAGTTTAAATAATATAACATTAAAGACGTTGTGTTGAATCCAGTTAAAACGTAAGTGTTAGCCCTAATTTGTAATATTCAAATGAATCAAAATCTACTTTGTCATGAGTGCATTTTTCTTAAGTTCAGTGTAATCTAACCTAAGAAAATATATAAGCAATCTTCAGATAACACATTTAGATTAAATTTATAAAATACTAATCTATAAAACTTTCTTTGATGCTTATAGACCTAGTAACCATGTCTTAGATCTTAGGCTCAGTGTACAGCAATAAGCATCACCTGTAAAATATTGACATTTAAGAAATACTTAAAGCCTATGTCGTTACTATGTACTAGACTCTATTTCTTCGGTAAAATTAAAGAAGAATCATTTTTAAGTATGTACTCATTTGATAAGCTGTAATGTTACACATTCACATTATAATGTGAAGAGAATTGATGGAATAATATAAAAAGTATATTGTCCTTTTATAACAGTATTAGTAAATTAAAGGCACGCTTGTTAAATTTAAACATATATAATATTTTGATAATTATTATCAACATCCTAATTTGCAATGACTTAGGTGTCTCCCATAATTCATATTAAAAATTAATGATTCCGTTAATTTTAAAACTATTGACTATTGATAAAGAGTAAAGTTAATATTTTCATTAAAACCTTTTTTCAAAAACTTATGAAAATGTATGATAATATCATCCATTAAAAACACCATCCATCCAATGCAATAGTTATTGTGATACCTGCAGGAGGAGTAAAACGAAAACATAACATTTCAAACAAAACACACTTAAACTTTGTCATGAATTATTGTGTCATTAGTCATTCCATTTTTCAATTATTTTGTATCTAATGGTTTTGTATAACTATTAAATATATAGGTTCAGCTGTTTTATTCTGCTTTTAGAAAGTGAATTTTCAAGGTCAATCAGAATTGCAATACAAAACTGGTTTAGATAGCAAGAATTTGTTTTGATGGTGCCAACATTGCTACTTGTAGAATGCCTACATACATGGGCTACATATGTTTTTTTTTGTTATATTGTGTTTCAACACAATAATTAGAACAAAATGTTTCACATGAAAAAAAATATTTAAGATGTTCTTGTAAAAAACTTTTTACTTCTATTTTGAATGAGTGAAAATTATGATACTTTTTACACCAAAACTTACTAGGAAATTCAATTTGTGTTGTGTTTAAGTTGCTGATCCTAAAGGTGTAAAGATTATTATTTATTTTTATTTTAAGTTTATAGGGTCTCATGGTATAATAGATGCAATGGCCATTCTGATTTTGTTTTGTTTAACATGGTGCTCAGTATAAAGCATAGAATGGCGGTTAGGTTGGTGGCTAGGTTCTAGTCATTCACTCTGTAATTTTCATATCATCAGAGACAGGTTTTGCCTATGTACTTGTTAAGTACAAGAAAAGTTGGATGGTTAGTTTATTTTTGTAATTCCGGTTCTCCCTCGTTACGCGTATAGAAGGAAAATGACAAGTTGCAAATAGTACAATATAAGTTAAACCGCCGCGCAACCGTTGCGCAGTGTTATCAACGCAACGTCGACCTGCACAGTGACTGCAGACTCCCGAAGATTCGTTAAAGATCTCACCAAAGGGTTCTTCCACAGAGCCGAACATCATCCCAAACTGGTGGTAAGCGCAGCAAATTACCAACCCGACACTGGTTAGGTTAGGACACTGTACACGCGAACGTCAACTAGCGTCGCCCGCGCAACGTCCCGGTTGAGGAACGTCGGACCCACAACTCAGTTAGTGCATCAACAAACATCATAGTTCGTCCTCGCCTTCGAGCACGGCGAAACCAACATAACGCGTACAGTAACTACACCCACGTTTAAGGGCGGTTCTCACCGCCCCCAGCCACCGGCTAACCAAGCACAGTTAACGTCCACCGGGGTCACGATCCGCACCGAACCTCGATGGCCCGCAGGCGACATGCCGTAATTAACGCACGCATGAGCACATGCGCGGCCATACCCACTGAGGGGGGCCTCATATCTAATATTTCGGTTCCTAAGGAAATTTATCCGCTTTAATTCTGTCTCGTTTAGTCGTCACTCTCGTTTAGTTCATAGTGAAAGTCGCTGATGACAACAGCTTATGCAATAACTCATTGACAATGCAAACATGCTTAGAACGGAAATGGCGCATAAATATTAGGCAACCGCCTCGAGGTGTTTGCTTGCGCGCTAATTAATACTTTACGGTTCGTTGTGCGAGTCATGGCCACATATTGTGGCTGCATCACAAAATGACCGCACCGACCATGTACCCTTTAGAATACCGGTCTAAGATATTGCAAAAAGGAAAATAGCCATCCGCGCCGCTGTCTTAACTTCTTTTTCTTTTTTATAAATAAAAGATTTGAGAATTTTCCATTGAACACCATAATGACGCAGAACGCAGGATGAATCTTGTAAAGTGATTGGAACTGACCATCTATAAATAGGTGTAGCCCTTTAATGCATAGCAAAACAATCGCAAAGAAAAAAATCGATCTTTAACGATTTTTGTTAAAGCTATCCCAGTCGGTAAGGTTTTATACCTAAGGCGGTAGGCGATGGACTCAAGAGCCCGTTGTAGTGTTCAAGTATTATCCGTTGTAATTTTCGTTTTATAATAACGAAACGTTTTTACAAACTAATACGTTTGCGGTAATCATCATGGGAATGCCATATGTTACGTACGAGAACCTCTGGCAACGTATTCTTTTAGCATAGATAATCTAAACTGGCCAGCACTTGTCTGCATCCTACCTGATGGTAAGTTGCGATGCAGGTGCAGCCGTTGATGGTAAGCGCGCTAGCTCCTAATAGTAAAAACCTATTCTCTCTTGCCCTTAAGGCACCTACGTTGCAATCGGACGGAAAGACGGACGCCGGCGGGTTGTTCCATTCCTTAGCTGTACGGATGATAAATGACAAGACGGATCGCTTTCTTCTTATGTGTGGAACGTCGACAGCATAAGGGTGGAGCCCCGCCGCACGCCTATTGAATTGGCAATGGTCAGGCCACATTGATCGAAGATCTACTAAAGATGGATGAGTAATAAAGTTCTTAAGTTGCGACTACGAACCAGAAGACGTAGCGTTGGAAGCTTCCCTTCGGTGGACCGACGACATCATAAGATTCGCAGACAACCGGTGGATGCAAATGGCGAAGTGTCGTTCGTTGTGGCGTTCTTAGGAAAGACCTTTGTTCAGTGGACGTCTTCGGCGAACAATGATGATAACTGCTCATATCAGTGGCGGAGCAATACTGCAGCTTCTTGCTGGCTGTAACATCAATAGTTATATCAGGGAATGGCCATGCTAATCTGCGATAAACGGCAAGAAATAATACGTTGATGTGTTCCGCATGGCGATTAGGGATTCCGAAACGGCACAGTACCATATGGCCGAAACGGGTGTCCTGTACCGGGAGAAGAGGCTTTAGATCAGTGTTTCCCAACGTGGGGTCCACGCCCCAAAGGGGAACAATTTGATTGTTAAGGGGGGCAACTTGAAAATGTACTCGACACGAGTTTAACGCTTTCGCTCCGGGCCATTTAAATGCAATGCTAGATTTTGGTGCCAATTTTAACGAAAAAAGCAAATTCTATAACTAAATGTATTAAATAAGCCACTTCAAGGAACGAATAAGACTCTTGTCGAAAAGCGAAGATATTTTGTCTTCTTACCTAAATTGAGTTATGTCAGAAACATATTAACAACATAAACTTTTAACAGTTTCATTGTCTACAAAAATGTGATGTAACTGATACCGCTTTACTCATTGTAAAAGTCAATCACCTGTATATTCTATAGGCTGATTTAAAAGACAGATTTACTGATTTAAAACAAATTGATTTTCCAACACGATGCAGCCGATGTTAGTGGATTTATCTGATATATCAAATATGGAGAAGAATGAATCGCATAATAGCAAAATGATGAGTCAGTTAAAATTTGATTTAATATAAAAAGAGCGATAGCATGGCTTTGTAAGGAAACAGAAATCAAATGCCCAAATTCAAGCAAATGTGCATGAAAACTATTGCTACCGTTTCCATTTTCATTCTGCTGTAAATAATTTAATGGTAAAAAAAAAAGAAATCGGCTGGATACAACACAGCGTGCAGACTTGAGACTGAAGCTAACCAAATTGGAACTTAATATAAGATCTTATTTAAGATTAAAAAAAATATTTGGAATTTGTATTTCAGTTTTCATTCTATGTTTCTAAAATTTACTTACTGTGTATCGTTAATTGATTTCTTCCTAAAACCAGACAGCCATCATTTTGGCAACTCATGACATTTGAAAAGCCATTTGACAGCTGATTAGTTAGCTACTATGATGATCAGTGTTTTAGAAACCGGGCGATAGTCTATTAGTTTGTCGTCGTCATAAAAACCATTATAATACACTCCACCATATTTTACATCAATATACCATTCTCATGTTGAAATATTAAACTTGATATGTAACCGCAGAGCCGGTGTTATTTATCACGGCCATTTATAAGCGCGTTTCCACTCTTCAGATCAATCAATAGCGGGGTAAACATTGCTTGTAACAAGCACATGAGAATGTCTGTTTGCTCTTCCGTAGTCCCACACAGTGACAACATAAGCTTTTAGAACAGTATCAAAACCGACCAAGTGCGAGTCGGACTCGAGCACGAAGGGTTCCCTTCCATAATCTATAAAAACGGACAAAAAATCATCTCTGTTGTGTTTTTTTAGTATTTCTTGTTATAGCAGCAACGGAAATACATCATCTGTAATCTGTAAATTTCAACTGTCTAACTATCACGGTTCATGAGAATCAGCCGGGTGACAGATGAAGAGACAGACAGACAGAAGTCTTAGTAATAGAGTCCCGTTTTACCCTTTGGGTACGGAACCCTAAAAAATTTGGAGTAGATGTGATTTGTATATAAAAGTTATATCCACTTAAGATTATACTTTCATTTCGAATGAGGGTGGATGAATGACTAAAGGACCCTCTTATTGGTGACCTAAATAGTGGACTTGAGCAG